TGAGGGCTAGGCAGTGAGTGGGCAGAACTTTTACCCACCAGAGTTGTCCCTATTCCTGAGAAAACTAACCCGTTTGGGACTTCTTTTAGGGTTAAGGGAATCTCTCACCCAGTGCAGAACCTGATCCTTCATTCCCAGTGTCCATGGCTTACACAAGCTGAGTGTGAAAATTAATATGATCTTTCATGGGCTTGCCTGTTTAAATACTATACTTATAACTGCTCATTTGATCAACAGCATGCAGCTAAAAGGAGCACACTAGGCAGGGGAAGATAGCTCAGCACAAAGCCCTGTGGGAGAAAAGAGGTTAGCTCAGGACAAGCCACAAACACATGGCGGCATCATCATCACGGGAGTGGATTGGGTGCCGGTGGAGGGTGTGTGTCCCTTCTGGTTCCTAGGCAGAAAAGGAGCTCCAAACCAAAACAGTGAGAAAGTGATTGACCAGCAGTTTGCTGAACTTTTTTTAATAGACCTTGTGGGTTTAAGAGAGGACATGTATTTTACAGCTTTGCAGAAGAAAAAAGGCAAACAAAAAAGAAGTGTTGATTAGTGGATTTAAAGGGAAGACAAATGCACTACTAATGGAGTTTTTAATCATGTAGACACAGGTGGCGCTGTGGTCTAAACCACCGAGCCTCTTGGGTTTGCCAATCGGAAGGTCAGCGGTTTGAATCCCTGCGACGGGATGAGCTCCCGTTGCTCTGTCCCAGCTCCTGCCAACCTAGCAGTTCGAAAGCACGCCACTGCAAGTGGATAAATAGGTACCGCTGTGGCGGGAAGATAAACAGTGTTACCATGCGCTCTGGCTTCTGTCACGGTGTTCCATTGTGCCAGAAGCAGTTTAGTCATGTTGGCCACATGACATGGAAAGCTGTCTGTGGACAAACACCGGCTCCCTCAGCCTGAAAGTGAGATGAGAGCTGCACCCCATAGTTGCCTTTCACTGGACTTAACCGTCCAGGGGTCCTTTACCTTACCTTTTACCTTTAGTAGCCTTACCCTATAAAACTGCTGCTGAGATGCTAAGCTTCCTAACAGGGCTGGAGAAGTGTTAGGTATTTTCACACATTACCACTCTGGAATGGGTCAAAAATAGCCTTCTGCAGCCTGACACTGAAAGCCTGAGAGAGTTACTGAAACAGATTCCTGAGCTCAAAACTGTCCTGATTCCAAGTAGCTGTGTGGGGAAGAAACAAAGGCTGCATAAGCCATTTGCAGCCAGTTCAACAGAATTGTCAACACTGACTGGAAGTGTCCCTCCAGGATTTCAGAGAGGGGTCTCTCCCAGCCCTACCTGGAGTTGCCAGGGATGGAACCTGGGACCTTCTGCATACAAAACATGTTTGTTGCCACTGAGCTATGTACCTTAAGTCCACGGGCAGCTAATGCATCCTTGCCAAGTAAAAAAAGGCTAAACAATGGAGATGATCTAGCCAACAGGAAAGGAAGGAAGCAGGAAGATAGTGAATATGGACTTTATATTGCAGGCTAGAAATGTGGGTTTTGTGTGTGGCAAATTTCCTAGCAGAACCGTACACAAACACATTATGTTCAGATCCCCTTTTAGCATGGAATTAGTGCATTCATTTCTATCACTTTTGGATAAAGCATTCAAAGCAGTGTGCCACACTTAAAATCTCACCAATCAATAGCAAAGGTGTCATGACTTTGAAGAAGCACAAAGTCCTCATGACTTTGAGGAAGGGACGTTTGGCAAACCCTCATCGTGATCAATTCCTGCCCGGAAACCTATGTCCCCACTGTGGAAGTATGTGTGGATCCAGAATTGGCCTCCAGAGTCACTTACAAACTCACTGTTATGACCGTGTTCATGGAAGACAATCTTACTCAGCTATGAGTGATCACCAAAGAAGACCAACTAAAAACAGGCTGTAACAAATACAGTGTATCAGAACCAGCAATTTCTCAATTATCAAAGGTGGACTGAAAAACGAAGGTTTTAATTTGCATCCAACAAGACAATAGGGGGGAATCACCTCCATGTATTGGGGTTTGCAGCAGGAGAAGCCCTGCTTCTTGTAGAAGTCAACCTGATCATATGACACTTTCACGGGGCCCAGTTCAGTGGCTCTCAAGTGATGCAGGAGTTTATACAGGAAGTGATTCTAGACTGTTTAAGGCTTTAACAGACCTTGAATTGAGCCCAAAACAAACTGGCAGCCAAAGAGTTTTCTCATGACAAGCATTATATGAGAGTGTTGACTCAAGTCTGCCAACTGGTAAGTGGCAGCATTATGCAGCCACATTCAAGAGCAGTTCCACACACAGTATGTTACAGTAGTCCAGGCACAGGCAAACTCGGCCCTCCAGATGTTTTGAGACTACAGTTCCCGTCATCCCTGACCACTGGTCCTGTTAGCTAGGGATGATGGGAGTTGTAGTCCCAAAACATCTGGAGGGCTGAGTTTGCCTATGCCTGCAGTAGTCCAACTTGGAAGTCACCAAGGTGCAAATCAGCCTTAGCCAACCAGGTGCCCTTTAGATGTTTTTGGGCTACAATTCCCATCAGCCCCAGGGAGCAGGACAACAGCTAGATCTGCATTGTCCAGTTGTGGGCATAGCAGCTGAAACAGCAAAGGGGCATGTTGCGCCATGGGATGAGGAATCCAAACACTGGATTTGGGGAACCACATATGTCACTTGTTAAATATGTCATATGCCACTCAGAATTTGTTTTGCACACCAACTCCTTAGCTGAGTATGTTCTGTTTTAAGCAACAGCTTCAGCAACATGGAAACAAGGCAAGGCTTCGGCGGCACCCTGGACAGCTCCATGCAGGATTTAGGCTGGAGATTATGTAACAGCAGAGCGCAACAGCCATCTTGAGACTCAGCCTGTTTGTTTGTTTGTTTGTTTGGTTGGTTGGTTGGTTGTAAGTTGCTTTGAGTTGTTTTGGGCAAGACAAAGCGACTAACAAATATAACAACAACAACAACAACAACAATAATACAGCAAGTACAACTCTGTCTCAGCAGCTGGCTCCACATTCCATGAGAGCAGCCTTTGCATTTAAAGGGGTCCAGACTGCTTTAGGAGTAATAAATTCCAATGGAGTGGGTAGGGCAGGCATAGGCAAATTCCGTCCCTCCAGATATTTGGGACTACAATTCCCATCATCCTTAGCTAACAGGACCAGTGGTCAGGGATGATGGGAATTGTAGTCCCAAACATCTGGAGGGCTGGAGTTTGCCTATGCCTGGGGTAGGGGGACCATGGTTCTACTAGGGCTTCTGAGCTGTAGTCAGAAGTGAGCAACATGACCTTTTCATGCTGGACAGGTAATGGCACAATGAGATCCTCTTGCACAAGTGATTCTGATTACAATTCCCTTCCCCACTTGAAACCCCCAGCCTCATTATCTGAAGATCCCAGAGCTGGGAGGGATCACAAGAGTCATCTGGTCCAACTCCTTGCAATACAGGAATCTTTTTGCCAAAGATGGAGATCATGATTAGGATTCTCATGCTCTGCAGACGGAGCTATAAATAAGAAGCCCAGTTCTGGGGTCATGACATGGTCATAGGCAGGCCAGAAATATGGGCATATTTGGACCTTACCATGTATTGGGGCAACATTGATCAAACATGCACATTGACACTTAGGTTCCATCGGCACAGCTATATCTGCATAATCTACCAATCATTTCCATTAGCTCCAGATGGCTAATTATGTCCTCCCTCATTTCTGTTTATGAATTTACTATTATGAGACTTTGCCTGTATTTGCTATCATGTGGGTGGCATTCATTTTCCACGTCTGCAAAAGATTAGGTAACTGTTCAGCAAAACAACTGCAGTTCTAAGAAACTTAAGGCTGTTCCGCACATTTAGTGGTTCAGGGGAATTTTAACAGGCAGGACCAGGAAATAATAGCTTAGCAACAATAGTGTCTTTATTACATTCCCAGTAAATATTGCTGTTAAGATGCAGCCAGATATTTATTTCTAGGGTGAGTCATATGAGCCCATGTGCAGATGACCGAGGAAAGAGGAACACAGATTCCAAATTAAAAATAAACTGAAGGGGGTGGGGGTAGAAGGAAAAGTAGAGCAAGAGGAAGAGATTGTAAACTGAACTGCTGCCACAAAAATATTCCAAAGGAAAACTGATTACAGTGGAGTCTGATAAAAACCTACCCTTTTCCTACTTCTCCCATCTCATTTTATCTTAGGATGGTATAAGTAAATCCTATTAAATCTCATTTATGTTTCACTTCAATACACAAAATCCATGGAAGCAGTGCCACCTGCTGGCAAAACAATGTAATACCTACTTAATTGCTTTCTTTGATATACTGTATCTGTATTTGTGGCATTCAAAATACAGAAACAGTATTACATCCCCTCTGTTACCAGGTTTTCTGGTCTACCTAAAGGGGGTTCTACAGTCACTAAGAATGCATACTGCTATTCAGAAGAGGCATTTGATGGGGATCAGAAGTCATATACGTTATACGCAAGGCTGCCTCTGAAGACAGTTCAGAAACTTCAGCTGGTGCAGAATTCAGCAGCCAGGTTGCTCACCGGAGCAAGATGGTTTGAGCATAGTACACCGAACCTGGTCTGACTGCACTGGCTACCAATTAGTTTCCGGGCCCAATTCAAAGTACTGGTTTTTACCTATAAAGCCTTAAACGGCTCAGGACCACAATACCTCAAGGACCACTTCTTCCCATATGAACCTACCCGGACCCTGAGATCATCTTCTGAGGCCCTTCTTCGTGTGCCTCCTTCTCAAGAGGTCAGGAGGGTGACAACACGAGAACAGGTCTTCTCTGCAGTGGTCCCGTGTTTGTGGAATGCTCTCCCCAGGGAAGTTCACCTGGCACCTTCACTATACATCTTTAGGCACCAGGTAAAAATGTTCCTTTCTAACCAGGCCTTTGCCTGACCTGATCTACATCCTATACCCTTTTTAAAACGCTGGCTCTTTTTAGGGTTTTTTTTTAATTGGGTTTTTTTTTGTATTTTGATTTTATGTATGTGATCCTTTATGTGAACCGCCCTGAGACCTTTGGATATAGGGCGGCATAGAAATAAAATAAAATATGCACTGTTAAGTCTATGGTCTGTCACTTTCATTAAAAAAATGGGGGACAAGAGGATAGACAGCAAAGCTTGATGGGACCAAAGTCTTACACTACCCAGTAGTATCATAACTCAGAATAAATTAAAGCTATTGGGCCTCCTGAAGTGAAAAATTCCACGTCTACATGACCAGACTGTAACAGCAAAGAGCCATTCAAACATTGATGGCACAACCCAAAACTCTTCGTGTGATTCCACCCGCCCTGACCTTGTAGAAGATTAAAGCTGCAGTCATATTAAAAAACATGCTCCATTAAATTCAGCAGGGCTTGCTTCTAAACAGAGATGCAAATGACTGCACTATAAGAGTATTTCCAAGTAATGGGCCTCAAGATTATGCACAGGTAGGTAGTATAGACAATTTAATGCAGCATCACAAAAGGCTCACCTGGCACCTTTATTACATACCTTGAGGCGCCAGGCAAAAATGTTTCTCTTTAACCAGGTGCTTTGCAGATTACTGTTCTATGGCTTTTTAACTGTGTTTGTAGAAGGGCACTTATTGGTTTGGTTTTAGTATGTATTTTGTGTTTTCATTTTGTATTTTTATGTTGTGAACTGAATTTTATTTTTAATGTGCATGTTGTAAACCATCCCACGATGAAGGGCAGTACAGAAATTTGAGTAAATAGAACAAACTGGACCTAGGCTATAAATGAAAAGATGACCCAGAATCACTCATTGGAAATTCCCAGGGAATTGGCCCGGGAACATCAGGGAAGAAGTCTATGGTTTAGCAGAAAACTCATTATGTGGCCAGGAACAAGTCATTCTCCCCATCTGTAAAACAAAAATAATACTGGCCGCCAGGCAGAGATGTTATGAAGCAGTAATCAACTTAGTCTGAATGCCAAAAATGCTCCAATATATGAACTCTGTATTAAACACAAAGTAATTTAGTAGAAAAAGATGTTTAATATGTCTTTCTTATCTTTTATGAAGAGGAAGAACTACATTCACACAATAATGGATTTTTCCTTCACACATGTATTCTCTTGCTGCGTTAGAATGAGTATCAAAGTAAACATTGCCCGAGACACTGCTCTGATAGAACACACACCCCAACTGAGAAGATACTCCTATGTGCAAAGCAGGTGAACTCTGCTGCAGGAGCCTGGTGTGGAAAGTGGAAGTCTGTACCCAATATCCAAAGTTACACAAGAGCAGCCCCTGCCCCACATGCACACTATGCAAAATGTTTTCCAACACCAACCACCTGTTAGGCAAGGGTGGGGTTAAGGAAGCAGCAGCTCAACTGGGAGCCTCCACAACCCTACAACTCTTCGACATCTCACAGCTTCTCAATATGTGATAAGCTCTGTCAGCTTGGACTGCCTAACCCAGAGGCAGGCACAACTTTTTTTTTCTGCCATCGCAGACTGCTGTATTAGGGACATGTGGTATATGGCAGTCATGAATCACTGACAAACACTTCTGTCAATTTGCAATTATGAAAATGATCAATTTATATTCCTCTAACCCCACCCCATTTGCAAAATGAATTCTCTAAAAAGGAGCAAGAACAAGCCATGGTGGTACATGAATAAAAGTATTACTTTTGGCTTGAAGCCTTGGGGGTGCGGAGAGGAACAGGATTGAAGGACAAAGGTTTTACGTTTAAGGTTCAATACACTTAGGCCTAGTTAACACTTCTGAGTATTTTTTAACAGTCATAAAAATAGACACAAATCTGTTAATAAACTAACTGCCTGTAACAAGTGTTTCTCTTTATACAAGAAGAAAAGGAGAAAGCAGCCCTTTCCTTAGTTCGTCCTCTTTTTCTTGTCTCTCTGGACAGGAGGGATGGGGCTGTGGAATTTTTGCTATTCATTCCTCTTCACGAAGAGAAGAAAATCCGATTTCTGCTTTGCGACACTCCACAATAAGGCACTAACCCATTAAGTAGCCCCTAGAGGACAAAGGGAAGATTTGAACAGGGAGGGAGGAATATATTACTGATTGTTTGCTCTTCACCCAGGTGGGTTACAACAATTTAAAATACAACATTAAAAACAGTTGCGATTACTCACAATTGCAAAAGCTACAATCACCAAAAATAGGGTGGGTTCTTAAAAGTATACATTTCAGGTGTCAAAGGCATTCACTGAAAACTGTATAATGAAGTGGACAGGGCATTTCACAACTTAGGGGCTGCCACAGAGATTGCCCTCTCCTGGGCCATCACCACCTGGAGTTTCTGAGAGGGGTGGAGCTACCAAAAGGGCCTCCTCTGCTGATCTTAACACCCAGGACAGGGAAGGAGGAAGTCTTTCAGATATTTGGGGTGGGAGTGCTTTAGGTCTTAAAACACTAACATGAGCATCTTTTATAAAATAGAAGGATCACTACATAAGTATAGGAAGCCACCCTACACACCAGATACTTCTGTGTAGGAAACCATCTGTGGGTCATATCTAATTATTGTACTCTCATGTGCTTGCTTCAGGTTTACATTGCTGGAAGTCATGGTTAGTGACATGATCTACATATACAATAAATTGTTGTATATTCCTAGATAAATGTTCCTTCAATCATTCTTGGTTTCCTTCTGGACTTTAAAGCTAGCCACAAAGACTCTGCCTCAATCTCCCTCAAACTGCGGATAAAACTGATCTCCCTTGCAGGATTACTGTAAACAATATTAGGTGTTTGTGAAATGCTTTTTACAACAGTACTTATATAGCTTTCCTCATAAATAGTATTAAATCCCTCATCTCAGACACTGTAGTCAGGTTTTTTAAAAAAAAAAAATCTGATTTCATGGCCTGGCATCTTTCAATATTATGATTACTCCTCTAGAGTGGACATTTGCTTGTCTATTGAAAAAAACCTGTGGTATAATTCACACTGCTCCAAACAATGTTTTAAAAACATGAGAAAAGTCCTTGCAATACCTTTATTTTCCCCTTAGTACTTATTTCATCTTTAGATTGTGATAAAGATTAAAAGTGGAGGTCAGAAAATCATAGGAGAAACAATTTACTTACGGTAATTTCATCCTCATGAATACTCTAGCCATAAAGAAACTCAACAGGACACTGACAAATCCAATAAAAAGCAGCAGAAATCTGTTCAGCTTTGGGATATTTGGTGCATTAGAACGGTCCAATATTATAAAGCCAAGGCCTCCCATTGTGAAGAGGAAGCTGGAAGCGAGCCCTTCCATAATGTACTGTCCATTTACTCTGCATACAAGACAAGGAAATATTTTAGTTTGAACAGCAGTGCTACGGATTATCTGGCTAACCTGTCACATTGTGTAAAATTCACAAACATAGGTGCATGCATATATTCTACTCTCACACACAAGAAAAACAGTCATCATGATACAGTGGAGGGCAGAAAATAAAATAAATGATGAGTGTCACATTACAGGAAAACTGCTTCCTCTTTGAAACCATTAGAGACTTGATGCTATTAAACAAAGATGAGAAGTTCCCAAAAGCAGTGCAGATAGCTACCATACCCCGAGCTCTATAATTTACTGAGAAGCAATCCCATCAAACGTCTGGCTATTCCTTCAGCTATAACTATCAACACACACAGAGCCCGATTTCTTTCCAGAATATGTCAGGCACTTATTACTGGTTTTCCCTTTGCCATGATACTTCTTGTTGCTTTAGATCCCTAGTCCCCAAATAGGATGGCCCTACAACTCCTTGTAGCTACACATGGTGTGTATTCTCTGACAATTAGTTTCCATCCTTGACAGTAGTTTAAACCATATGAATGACTATTAACTTAGTTCAGCTAAGACTCTGTTCCAGAGAGCAGGAGGACTGTCTACTAAGTTAAACAACTTCATTTAAAATGATGCTAGTATTTCTATTTATTTTTGTAGCTTGGTAAAGCTACAATGAACTTTGATCACAATGTTCTAACAGCCAGCTCACCATGTAAACAGCAGTTCACTGTCAAGATACTCCATAGTAATCTTTAGAGAAATACAGTTTGCTAGTATCAAGTATATTTTCTACCTGTAAGCCAAGAAGGCCACAGGCCTCTGATGTCCATGTTCATCTGTCATTGAGCCAACACTGGGAGGTTCTACAATCACATCATAAATGATTCCTACAGAAAGAGGAAAAAAAATGTAAATTTAGTTTGAAAGAACACACACACACATGTACACCACCTTCCCTAAGCCTAAAGGTAGAAAGTCAGAAGTTCATGATTTAAGGTCTTTTTTTCATGTGAAAAAATTGGTGGGCTGCATTTAGTTTTAGACATACAAAAGTGTGCAGTAGAGTACACAGCTACTATTGCCATATCACAGGTTTCAGGAAGAATGAGGAGGGCTGTGGTTGTGTAGCTAACAACAATCCTCCAATGCAATTCACCGTTATTACCCATGCACTTACATGCGTGTGCAATGCTACAAATGGTTTACAACTAATCCTGTAATACAGCTCAATTGTTAATGCTTCAGGTTGCAGTACAGTATATTTTCTCTCCAGCTCTGCTGAAAGACCAGCTCAATCAGGAGTCTCCCTCAGCTGCAATATAGCAGGACCCACTCCATATTGCTGGGCTACACAGCAAAGGGAGAGGCAGCACTGCAGAGCCTCTAGAGACCTGCAGCTTTTGACTCCTCCTCTCCTTTCAGTTACAGTCATACCTCGGGTTGCGATCGCTGTGGGTTGCTCGTTTTCGGGCGCACCGAACCTGGAAGTACAGTGGTGCCCCGCAAGACGAATGCCTCGCAAGACGGAAAACTCGCTAGACAAAAGAGTTTTCCGTTTTGGAGGTGCTTCGCAAAACGAATCTCCTATGGGCTTGCTTCGCAGGACGAAAATGTCTTGCGAGTTCCTGCGGGTTTTTTTTCCTCCCCCCCTTTTTCTAAGCCGCTAAGCCGCTTATCCGCTAAGCCGATAAGCCGCTAAAAGCCGCTAATAGCGCTAATCCATCAATGGGCTTGCTTCGCAAGACGAAAAAACCGCTAGACGAAGAGACTCACAGAACGGATTCTTTTCGTCTTGCGAGGCACCACTGTACTGGAACGGGTTACTTCCAGGTTTCGGCACTTGCGCATGCGCACCAAATCATGTATTGCGCATGCGCATACATGGTGCTGCGGGTTGCAAACGTGTCTCCCACACGGATCACATTCACAACCCGAGGTTCCACTGTACTTGCTGTGGTCTAAACCACTTAGCCTCTTGGGTTTGCCAATCGGAAGGTCGGCGGTTCGAATCCCTGCGACGGGATGAGCGCCTGTTGCTCTGTCCCAGCTCCTGCCAACCTAGCAGTTTGATAGCACACCAGTGCAAGTAGATAAATAGGTACTGCTGCAGCAGGAAGGTAAACGGCGTTTCTGTGCGCTCTGGTTTCCGCCATGGTATTCCATTGCACCATAAGTGGTTTAGTCATGCTGGCCACATGACCCAGAAAGCTGTCTGTGGACAAACGGCGTCTCCCTTGGCCCGAAGCGAGATGAGTATTGCAAACCCATAGTCACCTTTGACTGGATTTAACTGTCCTTTATCCTTTTTTTTTTTTTTTTTAAATCTTACTTGCAACAACCACTCTTGTCACCAAGAGCCAGTCTCCAACTTAGAATGGGTCCTCAAATCCCCCTCTCCAGACTGCACTGCCCAGACCACCACCACTCACACCAGCCTAGTGCTTTCATAGGATTGTAATGTTGGGAGTCCGAAGATCATCAGGTTCAACCCCCTGCAATGCTCGGCTGGGGTGTGTCTTTAGAAACTTTAAAATATGCCAGCCAATGGTGCTGTAGTGGACAGTGTCAAACTAGGACTTGGGAGGGTCCGAATCCCTGCTCAGCCCTGAAGCTCATCAGGTGATCCAGTGGGCCAGTCACTGTGCCTCTCAGCCTTAGCTACCTTATGGCGTTGTTGTGGGGATTCAATGAAGAGGGGAAAGGCTTCAGGGCATGAACAAATAACAAAAGAAATGAATGAAATGGAACAGTAGAGTCCCCGGGTCACTTTCATTTGCTAGTGTCTCTGGGGTTCTCCTAAAATAATTAATACAGAAACACCCCTTCTGTAGCAAGGCACAACTTAGGACCACCCTGGCAGGGGAATGGGAAGCCTGGCGAGAGACCCATTCGCTTTTCATGCCTTTCCCCCACCAATTTTTGGCTTTTCTCACTCCTAAATAGAAGATTAAAACTAGAATAAGGGGCAACGGAGGAAGAACGGAAATGGTTTATCGAATATTTACAAACAGATTGCAAACAGGTAAGAAGACTGGCAGGATTATTGTAATAAGAACCTGCAGTTTTCATAAGAGTGTATCTTTAAAGCAGATGAATGTGCGAACAAATTAAGTTAAATTCTGATATGCAGAAAATATTAAAAAATCAATTTAAAGAACCGCAAAAAGAGGGCGGAGAAGGAAGTCGAGTTTTGAAATGTTAAAATGACTGTAAATGAATTGAGAGGCATAAAGCTGAAAATTCTATATATGAATATGGGGCAACCGAGGAGGCAGGAATGAGCTGCGCCTGTGCATTAGCGTGTAATTTTGTGCGCGTGTATTTTTGTGCGCGCGTGCATCTGCGTGTATTTTTGTGCTCGTGTGCATTAGCGTGTATTTTTGTGCGCGCCTGAAGGCCCACCCCGCAGAGCCTCCCGTCGTTCCCAAGGGAATTACCTCCCGTGATGAGGAAGTACGAGACCACCACCAGCGCGTAGACCGTCATGGCCGAGGGCATGTGCACCCAGCTCGGCTTCTTCAGCTTGATGTTGGGGCACTCCAGCACCGCGAACGGAACCCGGTAGAGCGTCTCCATGTCGACTCTCAGCGGCGGAGGCGGCTCGCCCGTCCCGTCTCCTCAGGCCACGAACTCCCCTCGTCTCCCAACGGCAGCTTACCCCCGCGCATGCGCCGTTACGGAATCGATCGGCTCGTCGGGGCCACCGTCCGTACGATAACGAAAGCTGAGGCGGTAACTAGCCGGGTCCTGGAAGGGAAACACGACAAACACGTCTCAGGAGAAAGGGGAAGGAAAATATCAACGTGCGGCTTAAACGAAACGCAAAACGAATAAATGTGGAGAAACCTGAATTTGAATAAGGCGCGTTGTCAATATTGTTTTTACCCTCCCGCGGCTTGCGGTAAGGAACGGCTGGGAGAGGATACTGATCTGCCGAGTCCTGGCAACGCTCAACGTGGCTTTCTAAACGGGTAGACGTGGCCCTGCCAGGACGCGCGAAAGCCACGCCCCCTCAAATAAGCCGCGCCCACATTCCAAGTAGAAGGTGCCATCTGCTACGTCACACCCTCTATCTTACTATTTTGTGCAGGATTTATTAGAAGGAAGCTCCGCTTAATCTTAAAGAGGGCACAATACTGTTTCTTTTCCTGCGACCGACTAAGGAGCTATCTGCAGTGGCAGTATCATATTGCATTAAACAATCAGAAGTTCCCCCAAACAATCCTGGGAACTGTAGTTTTTTAAGGGTGTTAAAAAACTATGGTTTTCCCATTAGTGATGTACGGAAGTGAGAGCTAGAATATAAAGAAGGCTGAGCGCCAAAGAATTGATGCTTTTGAATTATGGTGCTGGAGGAGACTCTTGAGAGTCCCATGGAATGCAAGAAGATCAAGCCTATCCATTCTGAAGGAAATCAGCCCTGAGTGCTCACTGGAAGGACAGATCGTGAAGCTGAGGCTCCAATACTTTGGCCACATGAGAAGAGAAGACTCCCTGGAAAAGACCCTGATGTTGGGAAAGATGGAGGGCACAAGGAGAAGAGGACGACAGAGGACGAGATGGTTGGACAGTGTTCTCGAAGCTACCAGCATGAATTTGACCACACTGAGGGAGGCAGTGCAACACAGGAGTGCCTGGCATGCTCTGGTCCATGGGGTCACATTTAGTCGTTTAGTTGGACACAATTAAACGGCTAAACAACAACAAAAAGACCTCTATTCTCCTCAAAGAGCTACAATTTGCAGAGTGGTTTAATGATCCATCCGTCTTGACAGGGAGCTCTGAAATTGTAGTTCTCTGAGCAGGGTCTCCTACCAATTCTCAGCACCCTTAACAAACTACAATCCCCTGAATTCTTTGGAGAAAACCATGACTGCTTAATATGACTTTTAAAATGTGGCTCTTTTGTGTGTGGGGGGGTAATTATTGGGTTATTGCTTTTATTTTTATTTTATATAATGTGACCTTTATATGTGAACCGCCCTGAGACCTCTGGGTATAGGGCAGTATATAAATTATAATATGCATGATGCTGCTTTAAATGTACAGTGCAGATGGAGCCTAACATGGCGTTCTCTCTCAAAAAGGCTTTGCTGATCTAGGCCCCTTCTAAACATTTTTTTAAAATCTACAACTCCCATAGGTCCCAGTCAGTGTAGCTAATAGGCAGCAACACTGGGAGTTGTATTCCCAAATAATTGCCAGACGCTTGGGAACAGTGGTTTCCATATTTTTTTCTGTCAAACCACTTGAAAAGGCTGAGGATCTTGGTGGAAAACTTAATGATTTTTCTGCCTTTTGCAGGAGTTGGAATGTGCTGCACTGAGTGATGTGTGGTTTTTAGCTGTATTTTTACAGACACATGGACCACCTAAATGAAGCTCATGGACCACTGTTCAAGAACCCCCTGCCCTGGAAAAACTTCCAATTTCATCCACTTGTTGCTCAGTTATCCTTCACTATTTATACACCTTAGAGCAGAACAAGGCAATAGAATTCAGAGCTGAGGATTTCAAAGGTCAAGATCAGAACTAAGAATTGAGCAGTGAGGCATATTGACAGTTAGTGAAACTCCCTTCATACTGGTTTTTAAAGACAGTCCCAAATACAGTGGTACCTCGGGTTACATACACTTCGGGTTACAGACTCTGCTAACCCAGAAATAGTACCTCAGGTTAAGAACTTTGCTTCAGGATGAGGACAGAAATCGTGCTCTGGCAGCGCGGCAGCAGCAGGAGGCCCCATTAGCTAAAGTGGTGCTTCAGGTTAAGAACAGTTTCAGGTTAAGAACGGACCTCCGGAACGAATTAAGTACTTAACCCGAGGTACCACTGTACAGCACATTAAAGTTATTAATGTTACTAGAGCATGAATAACTTTGGGCAAACTCTAAGAAAGGGTTCAGTTGGTACACCAGTAGAATGGTCAGGCAGTGGAGGGAACAGGAAAGAGTCCTTGTGTAATTTTGCCTAGAATAATCTCTGTGGGTGTTGAACAAGACTTCTTGGGTTTGATAACCTTTAGTTTGTGCTTAATGTTTCACCTGCAGCTTGGATTTAAAACACATTAATGATATTTATATGGGGGGCATTATAATTCTGTGACTTTCTGTGCACGAGTACCTGCTTTGACTTCTTGTTTCTATCAAAAGTAAGAATATATAAGTTGATTATTTTAAAAATACTAATCTTCATAGACATATCCAGATGACAAAATTAGTGATAGTAATTGCAGTTGATAAGAGTAGCCACAGCATGGCAGAGTTGCTCTTTAAGAACAAGCCCGCTCTCTTAACTTGAATTTTCTTTGTTTCTCAGCTTGTCAAAGCATCTATGTGTTTGCCAGAATGTACATAATCAATATACATGTGGAACTTCATAATTAAAGATGCAGTTTTCAACATTGAAATTAAGGTTAATGAGTTACACTTGATTTTTTTTTTTTTAAGCAGAATCGGCAGAGGGGAATAGCCTGAAGGTTAAGTACAACACCAAACCATTAGTGGCTAACTGGTGGTCCTCCAGCTGTTAACTAGACTCCCAACCCCAGCCACCATAGCTGTGATATTGTCCAATATGAGAGCTACAGCTTGCCCCCCCCCCCCCGAGTGATTTAATAGTATTTTGGAAGTACAAACTTCAAGAAATTGTCACGTATATACACATTTTATACTCAAATCATTATTTCCATCACCCACAAGATTTTCAATAAGCTAAGGAGTTTGTATACTAATATAAAGTTTTAAGCTACTGAACAAAGAGGATTTGGTGCATTCTGCTATTTAGATTTAGCTAGGTGGCTGTCTCAACCCATCAAATTTTGAATTGTTCTGTTTACATACAGAAAAGAGTGGTGGATGACACCAGCTGTTTAAAAGGCTGTCTCTTTCCACCACATTCAACAGTTATGCTTTCCTGGGTCAATTTAGAGCCATTTCCTCTTTTAAAAACCAGTGTTTTCCCTTTCTCATTAGAATTAACAGAAAAGGCTCTGCTGAAACTACTTTAACATGCAACTCACAAACTGAGCTAGTTTACTTTTAGCATGCCCTGCAGCATCAGACTCCTCTTCTCCCGATGTTCTTCATAAATTCAAAACAAAATTAGGGCTTTTTCATTAAACATTAAGCTTCTCCTCCTGTCTCCGAAAATCATGCAATGTTTATTAAAAAAATTCTACTGAAGCCAATTAAACTTTCATCATCTAAATGAATTAAGATTCAGGAGTTAGAATAAACAAGCATTTGCCAGATTTTAACCCTTTCCCTCACACAAGAAGACACCTCCTGGAAGCAACCTCACCTCCCATAGTTGGGCAACTGTGTTCATATACACTTTTGCTAGTGCCGAAACATCCATTCCTAGGGTATTTTCCCCAGCTAGACTGGTTGCTCCCAGGCACTGACCATGCTGCAAAAAACACAGCTGAAGTTGGCACTTCCACATGTGCTGAGCCATTGTTAGATTCAAAGGAAAAATATTAATGGACATTTAAATGAGTCTACATTCACTAAGAAGTATGGGTTTTGCCTTTTCAGAAAGCTGGTAAACAAAGCTGAGATAATTCCACCTGAGGGAGAAAACAAATACGTGTATTAGCTCCACATGCTCTTTCCAAAAATTGTGATAATCACTGAGCTTGTTTATAGGAAAACTAAGGCTGCAACCCTAGTCAAATTTAGGAGTTAATTCCTATTGAAATCTATGGAACTTACTTTCAAACAAAAATTAACAAATCTTGTATTGACTACTAAACTTGATGGCAAATCATCTTAAACTATGTGCAAATGTTTTTCATCCATTCATTTATCCTCAGTCATTTTAAGACTTCTATGAGTAGGTCTTTAAAAAAAGTAATCTGGTACCTCATTGCATTATAGATGTCACCATAATGGTGCTTATGTAGATGAGAGCCGTCATGTATTTTTTGAGTTAGGTCTGCCTTAATATTGCAGCAGTCTTTAATCAGGGGGGCATATTACCATTTTCTTAATGCCTGCACTGTTTTTACCACTAGAAAGGCTTTTTATCAGATTGTAGTGATTATTCTAAATCATCTTTCTTGTTCACTCAAATGCAATTTGATAAATTAGCTACTTCTTGGTTTTTGACCTCATCTGATTGTTAAGAACTGAAGATAGTACACTCAAAATTTAAGATAAGGAGCAAGATCTCCTTTCCAAAACATCATCATTTAATTACAGTACTGTCCAACAGCTTTTAATACAAGCAATACTTGCAGCAAAGGTTAAGCAGACCTGTCTTACTTTTTAAATTTTTCCTGACAAGAAAATCAGATGATACAAAAGTCAACTCACAAAGGTTTTAACGATATTACTGAACAGTTCCTTTCTAAGACAGAAAGGAACAGCTTATATAACCATTAGTTCGTATATTTCACAAGTATCACAGAGTCTCTGGTTGCTTTCAGAAGTGCTCCAAGAGCCTACAAGGTAAAGGTAAGCACTAAACAACTTACCTTGCAAGATCCCACATAAATTATGGGATGCATCCAGTGCTCTGTGCATAGATCTGCTGGTGCAACAGAAATCTCCTCCCTCACCCCATGCCCCGAACGTCTGCTTTGGATGTTTCTTTAACTTTCCAGAGCTGATTCTGAGATTGCATGGGGAATTGGACGGACCAAGAGGAAGCTCCATTGCCTGCACAGTAGTTCACTGACCAGCAGAAGTGATATTGGATATTGTCCTATATTTAGTTCTTTTAAAATCACTTATGGCAGAAGGGTACATTTTAAACAAAACCAAAAAAATAAATTTAATTATTATGCAAGTTCTGCCATGATACAAGCTAACCACATCCTCTTTCCCACAATGGAAGTAAGCTAAAAACAACAAAACTCATACTAAAGATCAGTAGTTTTCATCGCTTTTGGCCCATGAGGCATTTAGAAATCTAAGGAATTGTAGTAAGCAGCACAAATGCAGGAAATGCTGCCAAGTAACCACCCCTGCCAAATAATCCTTAACTAAAAGTTAAAAATTGGGAGTGATGGGGTCCTGATGGGTGGCAAAGGAAATGTCTAAGGTTGACTCCAGGCTTACGGTGTCACAAAAGCAATCCCTCATGAAGGTTTCTAGCATACCCTAGGGAACCTAGCAAGATTGACTTAACCTGAAGGTGTGATAATTTCCTTGCTCATGCTAATTTCTCCCAGTGGATCCTCACACTCCTTGTTCCATGCCACTTGTTTAGGATATGTATTTAATGCTTTTAAAAAAAAACACCAAAGAGAGTAATCAGCACAAAGCCCCCACCCCTTACAACTCCAGAGTTCATCTCAATACTGAACATATTTGATAAGTTCTCCAGGAAAAAAATCACTACACATGGAAGTTAAATCTTCATTTATTAGGCAGACAACACAAATTATCACTTTGATTTCTGACTCTGTGCTTGGGCCTTTAGCACCTTGACAACAATCTTCTGTTCCTCAATAAGGAATGCTCGTTTGATTCTAGAGAAAAAGGAAAGCACTTGTTAATATTTCAGCATTGTTCATTTTTTATCACACAGGCTATATTCAGAAAAGCCTCCAAACCATGGTCTGAGAAATCAGAAACAAGCCCTGTGCTCGCTACGTCCCTTGTCCCCTTACACTGGCAATGGAGGACACTGGCAATGGAGGAACAGATTGCACTGTTTCTCTTTTGTTCCCTCTTACCAACTGGAGGGAATTCCTGGTGACCGATGATGACCAGGTGAATGGTTAAATACAAAACAGCTTCTGCTGCTGATTGCTTACAAGCTGATATGGCTGGAAGTCAAAATAAGCTATTTCATTCTGAGACAACAAGCAATAATCACTTAGTAAAACAAAATCCACAACACAATTTGTAAAATAAACTTGTCTTCTGTTATTGGTATCTCAAGAAGGGATGAGTTAGGTTGGATTTAAAAAAAACATCCAGATTTCTACAGTAGCAAAGTTATTTATTTTTTAAAGACATTCCTACACTGCCTTTCACATCAAGTCACAAGGCGGTGGACAGCTACTTTAACATGCAAGCATCAACAACAGATATTTTACTCAGTGCTGAAAGGCCGTTAAAGTTGCCTAAGCTCAGGGTAGAGGTGGCTGCATGAAGAAGGGGCCAACACTAAGGAGGAGTTACAAAAAGATACTAGACAGATATTTGAAACTAAAAATTATAGCCCATGAATTTAAAAAAATGCTTATAAATTACCTGTCACGAACACATTTAGCACACATGGAACCACCATAGGCTCTGCTAACATGCTTCTTTGTTTTTGACAGCCTCATAAGAACTTTAGGGCGAACAGCACGAACCTGTAAGAAGTGAAAAATACATTTGTATAACCCACAGTCTGCATGATTTGCAGTCTTAGGCTTGTTAAAAGACAATCAAATGAAGAGACAATAGGCATATAATAGTATGAAGCACTCTTGTCCTGCTTGCGGGCTTCTCACGGGCATCTGGTTGGAGACTGAGACCAGGATGGACTAGATAGGCCTTATGTCTGTTGCAGCTGGGCTTTTATTTTCTTAAATAACTTTAAGACATTATAAGCAGCTAAGAACATGCACTTTGTTTTTTGAATGGCAGACATATATATTTTTCTAAGAACCAGGGAAATCTTTTGAAAGATACTTCTACACTAAAATTGCTTTGCTACTTAGTGCTTCCCTTAAGCAACCTTCCACGACGTTAAGGAAATCAATTTTAAAGTCTTAGTTAAAACAATATCGAATATAGATATTCTCTTCAGATATTCACTTCACTAAATGCACACTGTCAATAATTAATTTCTCTTTCATTTCTTCACTACCTGTTCACTTGCCCTCTTAAACCACATCAGAATTCAATTCTGTACTGTTACCAGACTGTATGCACACCATTATGTTAAAAGAAGCAGCAATTTATTAGCATGTTATTTTTAGCAGTAAGGCACTTCCAATTCTGTAATATTGGTTCACTGCTATTACCATGAAATAAACTATTCCTGTTTTGTCACAATGTAAAGGGGGGAAAGCAATTGCTACTTAGTTGTGGAAAATATGAGGACAAATGAAAAAGTTTCAGATCTACCTGGACACCACTGATTTTTCAATAATGCTTGAAATTAATGAAGGGGCACACTTATAGTTTCAGCGCTAAGATGCTATAGCAAATGACCTACATTGTTATAGTCCAACAGTGCATTAGGCACTGGCTTGAGCATCATGCCAACAATGAAATTGCAAATGTATTAACAAGCAATTGCCTATGCAACACTTTAGATTTTTACAGGCAAGATGGGGGAGGGGGGGAGATTTACCTAAGAACCACATATACCAGATTTTCCAATATAAAGTGGGCAATGAGCTAGAGTTCCTGTCTTTATCTAGGATGCCAGTCAACACAAGAAGAGAATACACTTACACCACGAAGTCTTCCTGGGCACACACCGCATGCAGACTTCGGTGCCTTGCCCACTTTCTTGGTGTACAAATAAACAATCCTGTTGCCTGGTGTCCGGGATCTGCATCAACCAAAGAAACAGTCATTTAATTTAAGTGTTATAAAATTTATTTAACAATAATACAATCATTTAATAGGAGGATTTTACTTACAGCCTGGTCTTGTTAGAGGCTGTGTTGTAGGACAACCTACGTCGGTATGTTAGACGCTGGACCATTTTGTCTATACAAGGAAAGAAAATACAGTGAGAGAAGGCAGAATTCTAAGCAGAGTATGAGACAGAGAGAATACACACACACAAACTCCAATTGCCAGTGTTACATAACTATTCTGTCATTCAAATGAGATAGAGGTAACATAATAACTGGCACATGAAAGTTCTTCCCAATTCAAGTCTCATACTTTATTTCGTAAAATTAACATATTGCTTGATTGTAAAACAGCAACAACACCCCAAAGCAGTTAGCCATTTTACCACACTGTTACAGCAACACAGTTTGCAATCAAGGTGGTGTATGATCACATTTGCCATTCCTCCAATGAACTAAATGTATTGCTTAGGGTTTATCTGACTACCCTCAAAACAACCCTGGAAGGCCAGTGAGGTTTAGCGAGACCACAAGACTGGTGAACTTCATGGCAGAAGTTAAGTGCTGTACTTGGAACTCTCACCCAAGCCAACGCTTCAGAAACCACAGGCACATCACTCTTGCAGTTCGGTGTGGTTTCTTCCCCCACCCACCCACCGCCAATTACCCCGCATTTTTAAGGGAGAATATCTCAAAATCAATTCCCCGGTGATTCTGCATGGAGAAGGAAGAGACCGAACCCAGATGCTAAATAATATGTCCTGGGCCCTTTATTTCTCGCAGTGAAAACTGGGCATCGAACGCGCCGTTGGATAGGGAGAAAACACATTTTATTTAGCCTTCCGCCCGAGTGCGAGAGAACTGGAGAGCCCGCGATTATTCATAGCTCTGCGCGGCTTCGCAGACTGCAAGGCCTCGCTCAAGCCTGTGCGAGGCGGAGAGGCCTGCACGCAAGACTCCCACCCAGGCGCCGGCCTCTCCTAGCTTGCCCGCCGCCATACACCCCTCGTCCTTCACCCCAAGCTCCCAAGTACCCTCCGACGTACCCGCAAGGCCCCTCAAGCCCTCCCTGCCGCGGATGGAAACGGATTAATAAAAGCTCCCCGAAAGAGACAGACTGAATTGCTCTTACCTGGAGTGGGAGCCGGCACCGGAAGAGGAAGCACACGCTATTGCGCGGGTCAAAGTTCAAGCGCCGGCGCCAAGACCCGGAAGTGCGTCGACGTATTACTTCGTTCTTGTTGCTAGGACGCCATAGAGTAGACCGAACTGGGCGCCGCCATCTTGTACGGCAACCGCAGGAGGAGGAACCTGAGTGTTTTTCTTCAACTTGGAAGGGAGGAGTTATGAAGCTTTCTTGTTTTTACCCTTTGCCTTGGTTCCCGGGGCATCTTGCAAAAAAAATAAAATAAAACAACAGAATGAAAACATACTCAAAAAACCCCTGAAGTTTTAATACAGCGGCATAAAACAATTAAAACTAGTTCAAGTTTTAAAACCTGGTAAAATGAAATGGCTCAGCACTGAAATGATATTGGTGTAGTCACTTTCTTTATATAGTCCTCTTCTGTTCTAAGCATTGTTTATAAAAACGCTTCTTCTATGATCTTCCACTTCATCAACATGGGGGCCTTTTTTGCAGGATGTTTGGTGATATGTAGTGAATTTTTTTCTGCAGAAAAGGTTCCGCTTTTATACATGGCTTCATAAAATTATTTAGTAACATAATGAAAACACAATATACATTCCAGTTAAATTGGGGAAATGGAATGGAGGCAATAATGTTAAAATCTAAAACTTGAAATTACCATTTTCCAGGAATTTTAATAAGAGTTTTCAGCACTTTTATTTTATCCCTTCACGCTCCAATCCTAAACACACTTATTGGGGAGTAAGCCTCAATGATCGGTGGAACTTTGAGTAAACGTGTAGGATTTTATTGTTAAAATATCTAGATAATATATGGGAAGTGTATGCTATTGAGGTACAATATCTTAAAATATTCCAATAAAAATAATTTCCAAGTAAAGCTGTGCATTTTATTTTAATATGACATTAAAACCGCACAAAGTGCATTTTGTTGCTTTCCCTATTCCCCATTCAAATATTTTAGTTCAAGTACTTTTGGCTATTGTCCTGTTCAGGGAAGCTTTTAATCTGTGATATTTTACTGTATTTTTTGTTTCTATGGAAGCCGCCCAGAGTGGCTGGGGAAACCCAGCCAGATGGGCGGGGTACAAATAATAAATTATTATTATTATTATTATTATTATTATTATTATTATTATTATTGGAGAAACTTTTCAGATATTTACACAGCACATAAAATGAAGAAGGCACACTTTAAATTTTGTAAGTAAGTTTTTTAGTTTTTTAAAGAGCATGCTAAATCAGATCTTCAATTTAGGGCAGTAGTTTTTTTTAAGCACATAGTACTGACGATGCCTGAAAGCACAACCCAAGCATATTTAAAACAATGTGATATACCTGTGCAAGTGATTTTTCACTGACTAATGTACAGGGTGGCAAATGGTAGCCCATGGACAAAATTCAACTAAAGTAGGCCACTGGCTTGCCCCTAACATAAATAACACCCTTCTACCCTGTCAAACCTGTTATGATTCATCAGGTAAGTCCTAGGCTGAGGAGATAGCAGCTGTTAGAACTTTCCAGCCAGCTGTGCTCATTAACCATAAACTACAAAGAGAAACGATGGGAAATAGTAGGAAACAGAACTTGCATGGTTGCCGGGCAACACATAAAAGATCTCATATTACTGTTATAATCATGAAGCAAAAATGATAGTCACGTGGTTGCTTAGCAACCACTCCCTTTCCAAGCTTTAGCCCTGCCAACATGAATTTTGGCTTAACGGTTATATTTCTGCCATCATTATACTTGAAATTTACTATGGCCTTGAGAGAAACAGCAGCCACTGTGCTACCTCACCTGCCCAGGCATACCTCCTCCCTATCAGCTTGTTTAGTGGCCTTGCCGGCTCAGAATGCTTTGTATTAAAACCAGCTGATACGTCAACTGTGAGTTTATCTAGACAGAGATAGCCTTGCGCTTGGATTACTGCAATGCATTGTATGCGGGGCTGTCTTGGAAAACAGTTTGGAAATTTCATTTTGGTCAAAATAAGGCAGCAAAATTGTTAACCAGGATTGGAATGTATGAACACATTACCCCAGTGTTTTGTCATTTGTCCTGGCTTCCAGTCTACTTCTATTCCCAATTCAAGTGTTGGCATTAGCATATAAAGGCATAAAGCCCTTAATGGCTTGGGGCCAGGTAACTGAGGATTCCTCCTCCATTTACTTACCCAGACTTTGATACAGTCTTTGGAGACCCTTCTCCAGGTGTCCCTGCCAGATGAGTTGTGGTGGATGGCTACTCCAAGCAGCTATACAGGAATGCTCCTCCAAGCAGCTTTACATTATTATTTTTTTGTCTCCACTATGCGCAACCTCCAAGAAAAAAGAGGTCAAGGTGTGTTGCATGGAGATTGCTGCCCTTTTTTGCTCTGCTGTGTGGCTGAAGAGGACACAAGAGTGAAGAAATGAAAGAGAAATTAATTATTGACAGTGTCTGCATATACGGAAGTGGAATGCATTTCAGAAGTGCAATTTTCTTCTTGGGGGTGGGGGGAGTATGTTTCATAACTACAGTACAGTTGTACCCCGGGTTACATACGCCTCAGGTTACATATGCTTCAGGTTACACACTCCCCTAACCTAGAAATAGCGCTTCAGGTTAAGAACTTTGCTTCAGGATAAAGAACAGAAATCGGGCTCCGGCGGCACGGCAGCAGCAGGAGGCCTCATTAGCTAAAGTGGTGCTTCAGGTTAAGAACAGTTTCAGGTTAAGTACGGACCTCCGGAACGAATTAAGTACTTAACCCGAGGTACCACTGTATCCTGAATCAGGAATGTGAGCATTCATTCTCTTCTGTTTCATCGCTATACAGCCTTCTTTGTAAGTGAGCAGGCAGCCATTGCAAAGCAACTACAGGGATTGGCAGCGAGACCCCTACTAGAGCATTGCCCTTGGCAGATGCCCAATGAGACAAAACCCAATGCCAGCCCTAAGCACAAGACATGGTTTATTTATATTGTCTCTTTACATGTGTTTCCTGTGAGACCACCCATATTTAATTTGGAGAGGCGCTGAGGTTCTACCTTCATTTTCCCTGCAGCAGTGCTAATCACCTAATGTCAGATCTATTGTTGCTGTTGCTATTATTATTATATTAAGAAACTCTACCTTTTGCTCACGTGCTATTGACTACTCTAGGTTTTGGATATCGGATGATCCATTCCAGATATCCACAGAAGTATGTTCCCCCAGCATAACATGGGTGCAACAGGGCTTTTGACTGACTTTTAAACCTTCATCCTTCTTATCACACTCCAGAAGACTTTTTAAACCTGTCGGACAATCCTCTCGCCTTGCAGTATGTATGCCTCTCTGGATGGGGTCAACAGGTTCCAAAGTAAGCTGTCTTCCCAGACCCTGTGATGTCTGATGCCATCATTATCTGCTTCTGCTTTCGTCTTTTAAATAGCATGCTTTCAAAAAGCTTTGATGTGTGCTCATGGCCTTATTTATAAATTTGTAACTTACAGTTTGTTGTGAAATAGCCTCTCTGTATGATATCTATATAATTATTATTTTGGTTAATTATTGGCTGTTTTCAAATGCAAATTTTAGACACCCAACGTTTCTCAGTCTCATGAAATAATGAGAAGAATATGTATGAACTAGATATGCAAGCTCATTTTAAAAGGAACACATTTTAGACCACAAGTGAGTTTCAGAGCAATTAGAGTATTTAATTTGAACTTTCTGGGTCCAGAGAACCCTAAGGGGAGGAAAGAAACCAATTAAATTAAATTAAATAATAATGCCCTAAATAGAAAATGTAACAGGATCCAATTGTTCAAGAACAACACTTAAATTGCTGATAAAGGAATTTGGAAATATTTTATAAAGGCAACACTTTGCTACTGTATTCGTATCTTTAAACAATAGTGCTGATGTTAGTTGGACATGACAGATTTGGGCCACATGTTCAACTGACAGAAATCCTAACATTAAAAGAAAAGAAAAGAAAAGAAAAGTTCTAGAAATATGGAAAGGGAGGTTTTCCAATTTGCATAAAAACTTGACTGAAGTATTTAAAATGTAACAAACGCAGTGCATTTTACAGAAGTAATGGGGCTATCATGAGGTACTTTTAAGTAATATTTTAATGGGTCCCTCCCCCCAAAAAAAATATTTGCCCAAGTGCCCTACATGTACTTTAGGAATGCATACAGAACCAGTGTGGAATGTGCCACCCTAAGTGAGCCTTACAATGTAAGGAGCCAAATTCCAGAGTACTTCCCATTTTCCCAGTTCCTCCATCTATGTGTGCCATTATACCAAATAACTGTCTCGTGAGGAGGAATTAAAGAACCTTTCAATGAGGGTGAAAGAGGAGAGTGCAAAACATGGTCTGAAGCTCAACATCAAAAAAACGAAGATCATGGCCACAGGTCCCACTACCTCCTGGCAAATAGAAAAGGAAGAAATGGAGGCAGTGAGAGATTTTCCTTTCTTGGGTTCCATGATCACTACAGATGGTGACAGCAGCCACAAAATTAAAAGATGCCTGCTTCTTGGGAGAAAAGCAACGACAAACCTAGACAGCATCTTAAAAAGCAGAGACAACACCTTGCCGACAAAGGTCCGTATATTTAAAGCTATGGTTTTCCCAGTAGTGATGTATGGAAGTGAGAGCTGGACCATAAAGAAGGCTGATCGCCGAAGAATGGATGCTTTTGAATTATGGTACTGGAGGAGACTCCTGAGAGTCCCATGGACTGCAAGAAGATCAAACCTATCCATTCTGAAGGAAATCAGCCCTGAGTGCTCACTGGAAGGACAGATCCTGAAGCTGAGGCTCCAATACTTTGGCCACCTCATGAGAAGAGAAGACTCCCTGGAAAAGATGGTTGGACAGTGTTCTCGAAGCTACTAACATGAGTTTGACCAAACTGCGGGAGGCAGTGGAAGACAGGAGTGCCTGGTGTGCTCTGGTCCATAGGGTCACAAAGAGTCGGACATGACTAAACAACAAAAGTATGCATGATGTCTGTTTTGTGCTTCAGTTCTAAGGCCGTCACTGGGGGCACCCAGTGGACAGCGGCTCCATTAGCGGAGAATAAACTTAGAACTGCTTCCTTCTATTGAAGTGAAAAAGGAAGATGTTGTGTCCTCCTAGCAACCCAGAGCTAATTGCTGGGTAATAGTGGAACACACCAGAAACAATTACTTGTTGTTTACATGCCATACCAAACTGTGGATTGTTAGCATTCTCCATATACATGGACTGTCAAGTCAGTCATAGGTCAAGGGCCAAATATATATGATTCCCACTCAGAAAGGTATACAGTACATAAATAATATCAAAAAGACATTTCAAAACTTTGCTTATATACACACACCTCAAAAGAGGGGTGGAATTCATTGGGGGTCTATTTATTTTAAAGCTGCAATGAACAAGGTCTTGTTCCACATACAGGCAGCAGGACATGGAGAAAGTATTCAAATGGCAAATTTAACTGGTGTTAGGCTGGTGTGGGAGGAGGCAGTCCTTCAACTAGTCTGGTCACAAATCCATCTGGAGCTTCATAGCTAATTACCAGCACCTTGGATAAAACTATAAATTTAAAATAATTAAATAACCGCAATCTGTACAACTAAGAGGCTCAGCTAGGAATCAGGAACTCTCCAATTCGAATCTCACCTGAACACTTGAAGTGCCTGCCCCCTTTTTCCTCTCTCCACACCTACTGCAGTTTGCAATATTTACTGGGGGTGTGCGGGCGGCAGTAGTATTTATAAGATTGTTGTAAAGGTTGACAAGATAATGTGCCAAACACCTGGGTTGGTACACAGATAGTACAAACTGATGCATGTCTACTCTGAAGTGAGTCCAATGTGGCTTTCTTTCAGGTAAGTCTATTTCAAATTGCAGCCTCATCAGCAATCTGCATACTAAGTGTAATTATTATTAACTCTACTGCATTTCTGAAAGAATCATACACAAAAAGAGCACCATTTTCCTTTCCTTTTTAGCCATCTAACATTTGTCTGCATTGGCATCTATTCACACACACCTTAATTTAACCACTCCCCAGCATGGACCTGTGAAGATTGGGTGATGTTAAAAGGATCCAAAGTTCATTTCCACTTCAATGGTGCATGTTCAACAAACAAAAATATTTTGTAGCAAGGAGGTAAACAGTTTAGCAGAAGGCAGCCCCTCACATGCATTCAAACATACGTAACATTACATTTGGCCTGGAACTTTTTCCTGTGTTGTTTTTTTTTAATGTCACAACCCCATAAGAAAGAGAATTAAAAGCCTGTTATTTTAATTTACATCTACCCACAAGATAAGTAAAGTTATCATTGAAATTCTAATTAAATAGGATGATTGACTAAGGTAGGACATCAAAGAAAAGAAGTGAATATGATAAGTCGAAGTCTTATTAATTAGTCCGCATGGAAGAAATTCCAGAGACGTCAAGCTGAGGCTGCTGCAAGGAGGAAAAATAGCAGACAAGAAAATGTGTGTTTCTTTGAAGTTAGGAATGGAGATAGTGATGGAGGTAATTGTGTCTGACTGGATCCAGTAATGAAGAGCCGTAAATCAGACCTAGGAATCGGAGGCAAGAGTCTGGTAACGAATATGGTTGCCCCCCTGCTGTGAAGAAACAGAATGCAGAGCTGACTAATTGACCCAGTCTATCTCCCAGTAGCTCCCTGTTATTATTTATTAATTTTTAATTTCTGAATTATTTACGTCCTGGGAAATTATTTTTGACAGCCTGTTAGGAGCGCCAAAGCTAATGGAGGATGAAAGGGCTGCAACCAGAATTAGCAGGGATGCAGTCACAGGCTACTGGATTTAATGATTTTGGAAAGGAAAATTGATTTCACACAGCGTGTCACTTTATACTACTTTAGGGATACACCAGCTATTTTATTAATTGAGGAATAACCAACTCAGAAGTATATTTGAAGTGTAAATGAATTGCAGGCCTCAGCTATTTATTCTTTCCCCACCGCATACACATTTGAGGGAGAGCAATGAGTTTGCTTAAAGTTGCTAATTAAAACCAACAGAGATGGAGATCCTATTGAACCCTTGTTGGGGCTTTTTTTTTTTTTTTTTGCCCTGGGAGGGTGGCAATCATTCCATCCCAGGAAAATCTGTAAACCTTCTGCACTTTTCAAGTTACATTCCTTTCTCCTCGTGACAAAGCCCAGTCATGTAAACCTTCCATGTTTTCGGCTCACAGGAATCACGCTGGATGGAATTTAACACCCATCCCTAGGACTGGAACCGGCCGTGAAAGATGGTCAGTCGGGACTGTACAGTGGTATTTCAGGCTGTTAGCTTGAGCAGGAGGACAGACACTGTGATAAAGTCAACAAGCTGCCTCAAAGTTTTGTGATGGCTTTCTAAATCCCAGAAAGCCACATTCTGAATCAGGTTACAGCCATTAAATTGGGCTGTTTGCACGCTGCCATTTCTGTGCTTTTCTATACTGGCCAAAGTTAACTGTCATGTCAGAAGTTCAATAAATCCTACATGCAAACAATCTCTTGAATGTGGCAGAGAGAACCTCCAGCCCATAGGGCTAGTCCGACCCCTTTCTCAAGAGTATGTCAAGGAAACAGTAAAATTTATTCATGCATTGCAAATACAGTGATCTAGTGATCATCATTGACGCAGTCCAGAAATGTTTTCTGATCTCAAATCCACATAGAACAAACATGATTCCATGGAAGAAGCTGGGGCAGGAAAATATTTTCTTGCTGCCCCCCCCCCCCCGGAAAAAATGCTCACCAAGAGTTTCCTGTAATATCATAGCAGTGTCCCAATTTTCCAGGGACATCCCTGATTTGGAGAAGCCGTCCCAGTTTCTGCGTTGATCCTGGAATGTATCACTTTTCCTTAGGATGTTCTTATTTTCGTTGGAGAAATGTTGGAGGGTATGGAGTTATCTGACCCCCAAGCCGTCTTAAGGGCTTATAGGGCTTCCCTTATAGGGAAGGGTTTTTAAAAAAATGTTTTATTATGTTTTCATACATGTTGGAAGCTGCCCAGAGTGGCTGGAGCAACCCAGTCAGATGTGTCGGATATAAATAGTAAAATTATCATCTTGGAATGGGGTGTCCCTATTTTCACTGAAGAAATGTTTGAGGATATGTCATAGAGGGTTTGGGGCTGTGGAGCAAGAACAGTAAGGGGACTTCCTGCTGCACAGAGATAGCTGCTACTTCCTACTGTTTCTCTCTCTCCAAACTTACCCACAGTTAGACACAGCAGGGCTTCCTGGTTTCTTGACTTCAGCAACTGCTTGTCTAAGCTGTGAGCAGAATAGGCAGTGTTAAAGAAGAAGATAAGAAGAGTCCTGCTGGATCGGACCAAAGGCCTATTTATCCATAAACAGAGAATACATGTTCTAAAAATTATTCTTTTTGGACCTTCATATGGAGATAATTGTGGAAGCAAAGAAAGGTTGTGCTGTAAGGAGTTTATAAGTCGTTTAAGCACATCCCCTCAGCTTATTCCTCAGAGCAGTTCATGAGCACTGTGAACATTCCTTTTACTGACAAGAACATGCAAGGCTAGTCTGGGTTTATCTGTTACTTTGTGGATTATACCACTGGCAATTAATGAAGGCAGGAGGATCAAGTCATAGAAGGAGTTATGTGAGATGGCTGACCTGTGGCCTACACTTCAAGCTCTGCGTCTTTATCACTCCCTCACCGATCCACAATATTCCTGCAGTCCCATTTGGGTGCATGGTTTTACTTATGATTAAGACCTAATCAGAGGGCCAGGGACATTAAAACATTAATACGGAGATGAAAGGAATCCTAAATTAGGCCCAATTAAAAGAACTATTTTGTTTACAACAAAACCTTCCACAGGGAAGGTGCTGCTAATGCCGCCAGATGCACAAGGATGGGCCAAAGCATGAATTTTTGGCCATCAACTTTCACGGCTTTAAAAGCGGATTAGACAAATTTATGGAATGTAAGGTTATTACTGGCTACCGTCAATGATGGCTATGTGCTACCTGCCCTGTTGGAGGCAGTGTGCCTTTAAATAACAGTTGCTGGGAATTTAATTAGGAATTCCTAGTTGCTGGGAATTAGATATTCTGGTTGCAGGCTTCCTGTTAAGTTGTGGGTGAACATATCAGACAACACAGCAGTTCTTCAAACAGCTCTTGTTTATTCACAGGCCAGCCAGAACAGAACTGGGCTGAAGGGTTCACCCAACCTACTTATATACAGCTCAACTACAAGGCAACAGTAACACCTTTCTGTAACTATCCAATCACTGAACGTCACTTTCAATTCCTTATTTGCAAATGTGGACCTGAGTAAAAACTATCTATAGTATCCCCCTGCTGGCCCAGGGTGAGAACTTCAGTACATAACACTTCCCATGGGCTTCTGGTTGGCCGCTCTGACAGGCCCGCCAAGTGTCCCTATTTTCCAGGGACATCCTTGATTTAGAGAAGCCATTTCAGTTTTCAATTTGATCCCAGAATGCCCCACTTTTCCTTAGGATATCCCTATTTTCATTGGAGAAATGTTGGAGGGTATGCTCTGAGAACAGAGTGGTAGACTAGATGGGCCTTTGGCCTGATCTGTCAGAATTCTACTTATCTTCCTAATTCTGCCTACACTTATCCTAATGCAATTGTATTTACTTCAGTTTGGTTTATAGTGGTGCTAGCTTTTAGAGGCATAATAGTTACACAGAATGCCTATCTACCATTTAAGATCTTCAGACACCCTTCTCCTGCTGTCCGTGTCCTCCAAGTTGAGGCAGATGGAGGTCAAGGAGAGGGCTTTTTCTGAGGTGATACCAAAATTATGGAACTCATGTTTGCTGAGCAAAATTTTTGATATTTTTATGTTCCATTTTAGGCATGCCTCTTTTTTCTTGCATTTCTAATGATGTCTGAGATTCCTTAATGACTTTAAAGTTGCTATTTGTCTCTGAAGATCTTCCAATCTCATCTCTGTGGTTTACTTTTGTTTAAAATATATTTTTATTGTTTTTATTATTGTTGTGAACTGCCTTGAGGATGCCTGACAGTGAAAGGCAGGATATTAAGCCCTTACAAATGCTTGCTGGTAGCTGTCATCATGTAAGATAGCTGTCACCATGTTACTGCCATTTTGTCACCACTCTCCTTGGAGAGTGTTGCGGGACTACTACCATTGTTATCCTCACTGGCTCCAGTCCTGACGTGGCTGCCATTTTGGGGCATGCTCTGTTCCTGCAAGAAGTGTGGCTACTGGGTTTCTATAAGGCCAGTTTACAGAAGCCAAGGAAAGGGAGACATAACAAGTTGTAATGGGAAAGTAAGGCATCTAAGTGGAATGACTCTGAATCTAGAAAGATAACAGGTAGTGTTGAGACCAAACGTCTGTCTGAAAGAGGGCACCCTCCCTCATATATCCTGTCCGAGCATTCCCTGTTCCCCAATACAAGCAAGGCATCCATGTCACACAGAACTTTTCACACAGAACCTGGTATTTTCTTAATATACAGGTTTACCTGACCACGCTTACCTGCTAATGGTTTTTACCTGCTTATGGTTCGTATTTTGTTCTAGGGGGTTCCCCATCCCTTTGCTTGTAGCATTACCTTGAGAGGGGTTGTGATTTTTTAATCACGCTCTCTGGCGTCAGCCCCTATAATAACGCCTGCCCTCTGGAGGGCAGAACCCCTTTTCAGAGGCTATAGGGGGGTTTCAAGGATGGAGAAGGCCTTCCTGATTACACATGAATCCCAGAATACAGCTGAGGGTATAGATGTGATTCATTTCACATTTCCTTCTACCCCATAGAAATATTCGGTGTATTATAATTCACAATTCTGGATCATTTGAGATATAATGAGGAATAGATTGTTTAAAAAAATCATTTATTTGCTAAGAGCATGACTGAACAGCTTCTGTGACGTCATGGAATGTTCATTTGGAAAGATTCACACTGTGAAGCGTGTGCTATGGGCAAAATGGAAGTGGACAAAGGAGCTTTGGAGTCTAGAAACTATAGCACAGAATTGCTGGGGCCAATAGACTGATGGAAAAGTAGGAAGCCAGAATTTTGGATTCAATTTCAAGCATATTTTTAAACATTGGAGATTGAGAGGCTGAAGGCTCTAATTTTCAGTACTAGAAACTGTATGCCCTGTTGCTTACATGGCAGAATAATCACACGCTTCCCTAGATCATTGAGCTGCCTCCTCTCTGTTTCAATATTAAAACAAAGGGTATATTTGTCTGTGCTGTGCAGTGTTCTGGGATTTAAGCTCACAACTCCAATTAAGAGCAACTAATTCCCCACACAGAATATTTACCCCTAAGAGTTGGCTTGATATAATGAGTCATGTGTTTTGCATTTAAGCTCTTAATGCCTAGAGGATTTAGCTTTTTTTTTAAAAAAAACCTTTCTATTTTGATCACTTCATATTTTCATCATTTGAAGAGCAGCTTTTACCCCTGGCAATTAAGTATATACATTACTAGATTAATAAAGTGACATAGATAGCTTCCATTTCCCTCTCTTTCCTCCACTGCCATATCTCTCTTGAAAAGGACAAAGAATGGGATAGCCGCTTCTTTACTACTTATGTCCGACACAGCAAATATTAAAGCTAGGCGGAAAAGAGAAGATTGATTCAGAGGTTAGCAGTATACATGCAGGACTGATATTCAGCAGAACTTTTACAGTATAGCTCATCTTATTTAAAGATGAACTGTTTTACAACAACCAGCGCTGACCCAAAAGCTGGCACTGGCAACAAAAATCACACATACCCACTGAGCCTCAGTCCCTGAGCCTTAATCCAGCATTGTCACCCATTGTTGTGCCCTCCATACACCTGATGTACAGCTTACACAGTCCTGATGGCAAGAGGGTGCCACCTGCTTAGCAGCCAGCAGCCATCTTGTTGTTGTTTAGTTGTTTAGTCGTGTCCGGCTCTTCGTGACCCCATGGACTAGACATGCCAGGCACTTCTGTCTTCCACTGCCTCCTGCAGTTTGGTCAAGCTCATGTTCGTAGCTTCAAGAACACTGTCCAACCATCTCATCCTCTGTCGTCCCCTTCTCTTTGTGCCCTCAATCTTTCCCAACATCAGGGTCTTTTCCAGGGAGTCTTCTCTTCTCATGAGGTGGAGCCTCGGCTTCAGGATCTGTCCTTCCAGTGAGCACTCAGGGCTGATTTCCTTCAGAATGGATATGTTTGGTCTTCTTGCAGTCCATGGGACTCTCAAGAGGCTCCTCCAGCACCATAATTCAAAAGCATCAATTATTCAGCAATCAGCCTTCTTTATGGTCCAGCTCTCACTTCCATGCATCACTACTGGGAAAACCATGGCTTTAACTATACGGACCTTTGTTGGCAAAGCCACTCCAGTATCCCTGCCAAGAAAACTCCATGGACAAAGACAACAGGAGCCATCTTAGCAACATCCAATCTGTTGCTGACGTCACACCAGGCATCACACTTGGAGGCATCTAAGATGACACCTACCTGATGATGGTCCAGAGCTGAGCAGCAATTTGGAAGGAGGCAATAGCAGGCAGGCACTTTATTGCCTTTCTGAATCAGTCACCTGGGCCCAATGGCATGTTGTCGCTATTGATAGGGCTGGGTCTGCTAGCAACAGTGGCACCACCAGGATGGACCTTTGGAGTAGAGGTCAAGAGGCTTAGCAGGCTGAGCAGAAGGGCTCCAAATGCATGCAGCAGGTCCTTTTGTAAGTGTAGTGGTATATCATTTAAAGAGGGCGCCCCTGTAAGCTCATTAAGTCCTGAGTTTAAAATTATGTAACTGTGCAGCAAACATTTCCCTATTCCTGCCGCTTTGTTAAGCTAGACTGCCATTGATTTAAGAACATCAGCTTGAGCAAATTTTATTTTCTCCGACTTTCCACACTTCTGCAGCTCACAATAAACAACAACAAAAGAGTAACACTAGAAGGAACATATCCAGGGATTGGGAGGGGGAAAGAACCAAATTAACATGACACCTCAGGGTCAAACTTCTCCCTTTCAGGAAACCGAAAGGAAAGTGGCAACACTAATGACTCTCTTCTGTTTAAAAGACTCTTGAGGTTGTTTTTTTTAGCACTTGGAAGGAAAGTATTAAATTTTCATTAAAGGGACGCAGCCAATTTGGACATAGAGGCTTTTTGATTAAAATACATGAGTTTGTAGTAGAAATAAACATTGTGCTTGGTTGATCCAAGAAGCATAACCATGCCGTGCAACACAATAACCTTCTATTGAGCCTTATGAGCTTTAAATCCAGGTTGCTCCAACATGAGCTTTGCAGTAAACCTGTGAAGTCTACAGGGTATTTATATACCCTTCATTAACCCACTATCACCTATCATAAAGCAAGGGGAAGAAGGGTCAGTGTGGTTAAATGTATATTTTCAGTAAATGTATATTTCTATTTAAGAGCAGGTTTTTAGAGATCCAAATAGCATTAGCTGGTGAGGGCTGAAAATGATCGTGACCGGGAAGAGAAGTGTAACCTTTTCCACCCCTGACGCTTATGGAGGGATTTCCTTGCAATGCAAATAGCAGCTTCAGAGGAGTTTTTTTTAATCAATACAGCAATAAGCTGGAATGGGTTAAACTTCTCCCCTGTTTCACTATGCATATTGTTTCAGAAAGTCTGAATTTTTCTTAAGTTCACCTTTGATGTGAACTAAATCAAATTTCTCCCCCATCCCTACTCCCAAGTAAATGTGCATAGGGTTGTTGTGTTCTTAATAAAGCCATTTTGCCAAGTCAGCAGCTATACAGTAAACGTGTGCAGAAAATCCCAGATTGAGCTGGACGGAAAGCAATACATATTTTAGCTCCTTGTTCTATTTCCTGCAAATGCCCCATACACGAGTATTGTAAAGATAAGACTTGCTTCTATGTACAATCTAACCTGGCTCTTTGGGCTCTCTGAATCTCTCTCCTTTTCCTTCCTGCTTCCAGAATCTGAAATGGCTTTCTTGCCAATATGATAGTGGTGGTGGTAGAAGACACTGTAGTTTGGGCTCAGATATAAACAAAGAGAGCAACTATTCACGTAATGAATTGTTTGGCACAAGAGACATTTTGAGGACAATAGCGCTGCTGCAGTAGGAGTCCTTTTCTTCATGCACGCTTGAGGAATATGCATTATGTAACAGGAGAAATAAAATAACACATAGACGGCAGAGCTCAAAAGAGTGTTAGAACACAAATTGAACACTACTTGTTAAACAAGGTTAATTTGTTCCTATTCCACTTGAAATGGCTTCAAACACTTCTAAACTAGGTCATTTGATTGCTATGAAAATACATGTACAAGGCAGCTGTCTTTTTAGCAACAAGTTTATTGGAGAGTTTTGATTGCATCCCAAAAGCATGTGAGATATTTCTGACCATATCAAAGAAAACTCAACTGCATTATCAAGGCACTCTAATGAGATGGTTTGTTTAATTGAAATGCTTTAAATTACCATCTGGTACAGCATGAAAAAATCATTATTTTCATTAGAGGAACTCCTCGTTAGCTTGAAATTGAAGTTACAAAATAGCACTGCATGATCTACTAAAAGTATTGTAAAGTATGCTCAAATTCGGGTTATTAAGAGACTTTTACATGCCAATTTCACTTCTGCATTCATTAAGTACCATCTCCCAACTTATACATTTGAGTTTATTTTTTTAATCATGCATAGGTGGAGGAACGAAGTAGTGTGGGGGTTATTCCATGGATAAATCATAAATCTGGGTGCCACAGCTACTTGGCATGAAATGAAATGGGGGGGGGGGACAAGGCAACCTCAAGACATATTTGCATAAAATTTACAATAATATGATAAGCACAAGACAAGAGCTAGTACCCATATTACATTTACTCCTATTGCTATCATTTCTTTAGCAGTTTAAACATGCAAAACTCTTTACACATTTATCTTGTCCTCTTGTTAGTGACAATTCATAAGATCACTAGTATTCCCATTTTACGGATGGAAACCAGCCAGACAAGAAGTGCCTCTTCTAGAGATATTCAGAGAACTGAACCCAGCATAAACTCGGTAATTGTAATATGTGATGTTTTGATTTTCATGTAATTGAATCCTGGGAACTGTAGTTTGTTTAGGGTGCTTTGAACTGCAGCACTGAGTGGTGAACTACAGTTTCCAGGGTTATTCCGGGGGTGGGGGTGGCATGTGCTTTAAACATTTTGTGTATATGCATCCAGAGTCATAACTTGTGTCCAGCCCTGGTGAATCAGAGCCTGGTGAAGAAGAGGATGCAGATCTGGCGAGTTTGGGGACAATGGAAAGGGCAGGCAGGAAACAGGTAGGATCCAGTTAGAATCAAGTAACTAGGATGATCAGAGCCCTTTATTTTCCTTGGGTGTGACTATGCCCTCAGAGTTAGAAATTATGATATGCACAAGGACTGTGGTTGCTGCGATGGACTTATAAAAGGCTTCATTTTCAAAACAGCTGAGTGACTGGTCTTGTCAAGATGGCTTTTTATACTTATTCAGCTATAAAATATGCACATTATGCAGCCACTATTTGGGCAGCAGGTTCCAAGAGGGACCAATTCTCCTGCCTCCTTGTCATATTTTTAAAGGAAGCTCTGATACTTCAGTATTTCAGCGTACTTCTTCATAGCTCGAGACCTTAGCACATCACAAGATTTCTAATCCATTTGAATACGAAACGTCTTCTTCCCTTTCCTGCTTCGGGCTGAAAGAATTCTCAGACAATGATAAGTGGGGCTTCATACTGGCTGCATTTGGGCAATTATTCCTCAGCTTAATAAGTTGAAATATGAATGAGTCTTCTGCCTGCACACACACAGTCCTTTCGCTTGAGCTGAAATCCGACTCATCTTAATTTCCTATTTTGTCCAAATTGGGAAATGATGGCTAGCAGCTTTAGTACAAGCCAGCATCCAAAACCTTGGTTTGAAGTTGGTTTAGGCTCCTGGCTTGTCCTGAAGCTGGTAACCATGGTTTCAATGCAATGGGAAACTATGGCTAATTGAAGACGTATGTGTTGCATCCAGTCTTGCTGCAAAAGGAATAGCCAAGAGGTTACACATGCCGGCAAAATACTTGTTCACCATCTCTACGTGGTAAGAGATAAGATTGTCCAAATTGGGCCTTTGCTCAAGGCACCTTCTTCCATTCCCCCCCCCCCCTTGAACAATCCCTGTGAGCAGGAGTTCTGCATAACTCAAAATCTGTCACAATGCATTGTTGAGCACTGGCTGGCTTGCTCTGCTAAAAAGGAGGTATTTCACTGTCCCTGCAAATTTCCATTTAAGTAAAGTTTGGCACCAGCAAAGTGTCCAGGGTTAAAATTTATCTTTTCTAAAAAAATTTATGTGGGTTTTAGGATCCCTCTCCCTCTCCTCTATTGAAGGCAATGGGGCCATTACTTGAAGATTAGCATTAGCTCTGTTTAATAGGCCTTTTTTATCCCAGTTTACGTTGAATAAAGAAGATTCATTTGTTAGCTTAAAAAAATCCTGAGACTTTAATTCTTTATCATCACTCCCCAGAGATCCCAGTAGGAGTCCTCTCATCATCGCTGATCAGGTCTGAACTTTTGTGTGTGTTTGCTCTTCACCGTTCTATGCTTTCATCATTTTAGACAGAACCAGCAGGCATTCTGCACTGCAGAAAGGGAGTGAGTCCCTTCAGCACTACGAAAACACACACACACACATATATAATTCACCCAGGCTCAGTTCCCTATAACTTCCCAAAAAGGACCCTCATTTGCATTTGATTAAAATGAATGAGCTTCCTATGTTAATTATAGGGATAACAGCAGCAAATGCATTTTAGTAGGTTTGACTGAATTCACTGAGAACTATAAAGTTTATTAAAAGTAGATAAGTGAATTTTTAAGTGGACCAAGCTCTACTGATGACTTAAGCTAACTCTTTGCATTACCTGCCAGATAAAAGGCATTTGGATACTTTCCAATGCCACAAAGTCTGCCTAGCCTAACATAAGAATAATAGGTTTACTCGGTCCCAGCTCCTGCCAACTTAGCAGTTCAAAAGCACGTCAAAGTGCAAGTAGATAAATAGGTACCGCTCCGGTGGGAAGGTAAACGGCGTTTCTGTGTGCTGCTCTGGCTCGCCAGAAGCGGCTTAGTCATGCTGGCCACATGACCCGGAAGCTGTACGCCGGCTTCCTTGGCCAATAAAGCGAGATGAGCGCCGCAACCCCAAAGAAGCTCATGAGATAATTTGCCAAACATAGGGTTGTATCTAATGTGGCTCTGTGTTAAAGTCACTTACGTACTTGCTTACTTGTTGCCATAGCAGAACATTGTTGCACAAGGAGAAACACAAGCACATTAGCAAAAATTGTTGCACAAGAACCAGCTGTTGTAACGCAAATGTTGCATTGTGCAGCCTTTAAACAAGAGCTCTGGCACTAGCAGACAGAGAATTTTGGATACAGCCCAAGGTACTTTTTGAAGTATAATGCACTTTGCCTTGTGAGACATCTTTGGGAGAAGAAAAAGCTAAACCCTACACAAATCCAGAATGGCGTCCCTAAGACAGTTGGATGTCGTCTTGTCTGCTTCCTTCCAGCAACTCCTGCAGCCAAGCTGGTGCTAAACATATTGCGCAGCCTTTGTTTGGGCCACATCAGCGAGCTCTTGTCATCTTGGCAGCCCAGGATTGCCCAGACAGGCTGCCCGGGCTCACGCCCCAGAGAGGTCACTTTGGTGCTGATAATACAGCAAAAACAATGAAGGAGTCAGCAGTTGTGAGTTACCGCTCTCTGCAGCCATTGTAGGCACTGTGATTCTCCAATGGTTTGGCTTTACCTCTGGAGGCACACTCCATTGTCTCTCTCAAGACAGACTGATGCAGACAAATTTGCTTTGCAATCTCGTGCCATTCAACTTCACAACATACTGCTGAGTTTATATTTAGCCAGAAAACAGGTTCATAGAATTATGGATAAACAAGCATTTAAATCTAGCTCTTACAGGTGTACATATTGCACTCTCACCCTAATCTGGATTCCCTACTGGGAATAATAATGTTGGTTTTCTGGCCCCGGTCAAATGTGAAGAAATTCATACATATTAACAGATTTTGTGCAGGGATTGTCCCCACCAGGGCTTGAAAAGGTTGCAGTAGCCATCACACAATGATTAGCACAAACTTGTTGTGCTTGCGGAACTTACAAACACACACACTTTTGTTGGGGAGAAGAAATGAAATCCATGCACCCTGTCCCCCTCTCCCTCCAACTGATCCATCTGTTCAAAACTAGGAGAGTGGGGCAGATCCACAAGAACTATGGTGCTATTAGATGTCTGGATTGTTGTGGGCTCATTTTATACTAGTGTAAACCAGTTCATTGAAAATGTGCCTCTCTACAATAATCATAGCAATCATGGTTCATTTTTATTTAAAGTTGCATCATTATGAAAGGCATTTTCTCCTGTAGATGGCACTCCATAGCTAAGTAAAACTGTGAGCCCTAACCCAATATTCTATCCACTGGACTACAGTAGATATTTCGATATCTGACGAGATAGTTATGGGTGGTAGGCAGAATTGTCCATCATCTAACAGCTACTTAGATCCATGTTGATTGATTGTAGATGCCATGCAACCATCCTCAGGAGCTCTCAGGTAAGCCTAATTCTGGGTGACGCATGCAAAACCTCTTCCATCAGGTGATCCTCACATCCAACTTGGTTGTCACATCACTGCAAACTGTTGCGAGGACGGTCTTGACTGTTGCAGCATGCAGACAGATCACACTGTGTGGACTAATGTGTGCTAGCATCCTTGAGCAGCTCGCCCCCTGTTTAATAGGATCCTGTTTAACAGGGCCTCCATGTTGCCATCATATTGTGAGAAACAGACCTCAACTAATTGGTGTGTTCCAAGCTTTGTTTTCTTTTTGCTATTGAGTCAGAGCATTGAATCCTGTACTATACCACTGCTCTATTTCTGTTCAGCTGGGGATGTGAGCACAGTGCTAAGGGATGAAATCAACCCTTTTTAATAAACATTTAAGGCTGTCATACTCACTTAGGTAGCATCTCTCTATTTGTTTTGTTTTTAGCATTAATTTAGAAGTCCACTTTTTTGTTAGACACATTGGAATCTGAATTTAGAATCACTATCAACCTGGTTTTACACCCCAAGCATGTTCCATCTGAGCAGAGATGGGTATATCTGCCAACATGGGTTTCTCATTTTTCCAATCTTAAATCCTGTTCACCACATTTTCACACCAGTTTGCATTTTTTTTAAAAAAATCCTCATGGAAATTCATCAGTGAATTTCTCCTAATTAGTACCCTTTTGTGTGCAATTGTTCCAAATATTTACATTTTTGCAAGTAAATATAATGCATTTTTGTATGTTATTTCCACAAATATATGCATTTTTATGCATGATTCACCGAAGTATATGCATTTTTGTAGACATCATATGGCTGGAGAGGTGCATTGCAAAATTCAGAGATGTCCAAATTTTGAAAGCTGGCTTTGTTTCAGTTCACATATTGTTTCAGAAAGTGCATATTAAATGCAAACTGAATCAAATTTCTCCCCCATCCCCACACATGAACTCTTTCTTCTAGATATCATGCCTTTTATATATTATATGTAGATTGAGTTCTCAGTAAATTATGCGTAGTTCTAAATATTGTGTTAGGAGTTAAGAGCAGCCGTTTGTGAAGTTCTGAAGTGAAAAAAATATTTCAACATTAAGACATCACAAACTGCTGTTTCTCAGTCTCTTAAAACAATATTCAAAACTAATTTTACTTAGGATGAAAGGTTTGGTGGCACAAGGGGGGCGGCGAGTGATTATCAAGACGGTTCCACATGTGAAAGCAGTTTTGGGATTAAGCAAAGGCCAGCTTTTCAAAGGTATGTTTGAGATAATGAAAAGGGGATGCTTACATGGGGCATGCTCAGAATCCTGTGCCAGAATGTGAGTTATTCCCAAGTGCTTCAGCCATTTACTAGGGAAAGCCAATATCTAAATCCACCCATAATTTCCTTGCTCTGCTGTATCAACAGTATTCATTTTACTTGTATATGCAGCTGAACTATTCCTCTTGTGCCAGTGGAACTTCGCATCGACAGGGGGCAGTAGAGGATGAAAAGATACCTGCGTTCCCTTTGTCTTCCATTCTTATGTGCCAGTTCTCCTTTAACATTCTTTTCAGAAAGTGCTCTTTCACGCTGTCAGACAAGAATCATAGAATCATAGAGTTGGAAGAGACCACAAGGGCCATCGAGTCCAACCCCCTGCCAAGCAGGAAACACCATCAGCGCACTCCTGACATATGGTTGTCAAGCCTCTGCTTAAAGACCTTCAAAGAAGGAGACTCCACCACACTCCTTGGCAGCAAATTCCACTGTCGAACAGCTCTTACTGTCAGGAAGTTCTTCCTAATGTTTAGGTGGAATCTTCTTTCTTGTAGTTTGGATCCATTGCTCCGTGTCCGCTTCTCTGGAGCAGCAGAAAACAACCTTTCTCCCTCCTCTATATGACATCCTTTTATATATTTGAACATGGCTATCATATCACCCCTTAACCTCCTCTTTTCCAGGCTAAACATGCCCAGCTCCCTTAGCCGTTCCTCATAAGGCATCGTTTCCAGGCCTTTGACCATTTTGGTTGCCCTCCTCTGGACACGTTCCAGTTTGTCAGTGTCCTTCTTGAACTGTGGTGCTCAGAACTGGACACAGTACTCCAGGTGAGGTCTGACCAGAGCAGAATACAGTGGCACTATTACTTCCCTTGATCTAGATGCTATACTCCTATTGATGCAGCCCAGAATTGCATTGGCTTTTTTAGCTGCCGTGTCACACTGTTGGCTCATGTCAAGTTTGTGGTCAACCAAGACTCCTAGATCCTTTTCACATGTACTGCTCTCCAGCCAGGTGTCACCCTTCTTGTATTTGTGCCTCTCATTTTTTTTGCCCAAGTGCAATACTTTACATTTCTCCCTGTTAAAATTCATCTTGTTTGTTTTGGCCCAGTTCTCTAATCTGTCAAGGTCGTTTTGAAGTGTGATCCTGTCCTCTGGGGTGTTAGCCACCCCTCCCAGTTTGGTGTCATCTGCAAATTTGATCAGGATGCCCTTGAGTCCATCATCCAAGTCGTTGATAAAGATGTTGAATAAGACCGGGCCCAAGACAGAACCCTGTGGCACCCCACTAGTCACTCTTCTCCAGGATGAAGAGGAACCATTGATGAGTACCCTTTGGGTTCGGTCAGTCAGCCAGTTACAAATCCACTGAGTGGTAGCATAGTCAAGACCGCATTTTACCAGCTTCTTTACAAGAATATCATGGGGCACCTTGTCAAATGCCTTGCTGAAATCAAGATAGGCTACATCCACTGCGTTCCCTTCATCTGCCAGGCTTGTAATTCTGTCAAAAAACAAGATCAGGTTAGTCTGACATGACTTATTTTTCAGAAATCCATGCTGACTATTGGTGATCACAGCATTCCTTTCTAGGTGCTCACAGACTGTTTGCTTAATGATCTGCTCCAGAATCTTCCCTGGTATTGATGTTAGACTGACTGGGCGGTAATTATTTGGGTCCTCTCTTTTCCCCTTTTTGAAAATAGGGACAACATTTGCCCTCCTCCAGTCTGCCGGGACTTCGCCTGTTCTCCAAGAATTCTCAAAGATGACTGCCAGTGATTCTGAGATCACATCTGCCAGTTCTTTTAATACTCTTGGATGCAGTTCATCTGGCCCTGGAGACTTGAATACATCTAGACTAGCCAAGTATTCTTGTACTATCTCCTTAGTTATTCTGGGCTGTGTTTCCTCTGCTGAATCATTTGCTCCAAATTCTTCAGGTCAGGCATTGTTTTCTTTATCGGAGAAGACTGAGGCAAAGAAGGCATTGAGGAGTTCAGCCCTTTCTGTGTCCCCTGTTTGCATTTCACCATCTTCTCCTCTGAGTGACCCCACTGTTTCTTTGTTCTTCCTTTTGCTACGAACATACCCATAAAAGCCTTTTTTGTTGCTTTTAACCTCTCTAGCAAGCCTGAGTTCATTCTGTTCATTCATAGCTTTTCTGACTTTGTGTCTACACGTGCTGGCTATTTGTTTGAATTCCTCTTTGGTGGTTTCCCCCCTTTTCCATTTTTTGTACACATCCTTTTTTAATCTTAACTCAGTTAAAAGTTCTTTAGATAGCCACCCTGGCTTCTTTAGGCACCTTCCATGTTTCCGTCTCATTGGTATTGCCTGAAGTTGTGCTTTTACTATCTCCCTCTTAACAAACTCCCAGCCATCATGAACTCCCTTTCCTTTTAGTATTACTGTCCATGGGATCTCACCCAGCACTTCCCTAAGTTTTATGAAGTCGGCTTTCTTAAAGTCAAGAAATTGAGTCCTAGTATGCTTGGCTGCTCCTTTCCGCTGTATAGTAAACTTCAGAAGAGCATGATCACTCGCGCCTAATGATCCTTCCACTTCTACCCCACTAACCAGGTCATCAACATTGGTTAGGACTAGATCTAAAATGGCTGTTCCTCTTGTTGCTTCTCCCACTTTCTGGACAATGAAGTTGTCTGCAAGGCCAGTGAGGAATCTGTTTGACCTTATGCTCTTGGCTGAGTTTGACATCCAACAAATATCCGGGTAACTGAAGTCCCCCATTACTACTATCTCCCTTCCTTTTGCATGCTTGGCCATCTGTTCCAGGAAGGCATCATCTATGTCCTCCGTTTGGCTTGGGGATCTATAGTAAACTCCCACAATGAGGTCACTGTTATTCTTCTCTCCCTTAATTTTGACCCAAATGCTCTCACTTTGGCTTTGAGGTTCTAAATCTTGGATCTCTTCACAGGTATACACATCCCTGACATATAACGCCACTCCTCCTCCTTTCTTGTCTGGTCTGTTTCTCTGAAATAGATTGTATCCCTCCATTATTACATTCCAATCGTGGGACTTATCCCACCAGGTTTCAGTGATGCCTATTATGTCATATTTAGTTTGCTGTACCAAGAGCTCAAGCTCATCTTGTTTCTTTCCCATGCTTTGCGCATTAGTGTACAGACACTGAAGTCCATTAATCATTCCCCCGTGTCTCTTATTTAAGGATTTTTTCCTCCCACCACTAGGTCTGCATGCTGTTTGCTCCATTTGGTCTATGACATTTGGAGGATCATCTTCATCAATTGATAGACTCCTACCTTCAGGAGCACTGTCTCCCTCCCCCACATTAGTCAGTTTAAAGCCCTCCTGATGAGGTTTCTGAGATTTTTGGCAAAAACATTCCTCCCAACCGTTGTGAGGTGCAGCCCATCGCTTGCCAGAAGTCCATCTTCAAGAAACTGCAGTCCGTGATCTAAGAATCCAAACCGTTCCTATTTACACCATTTGCAAAGCCAGCTGTTCACTTCCACTATTTTCCCCTCTCTCCCTGGGCCACGTCGTTCAACTGAGAGGACAGATGAGATGACAATTTGTGCATTTAATTGCTTCAATTTCCTGCCCAGAGCCTCGTAGTCTCTTTTGATCTTCTGGAGGCTATTGCTTGCAGTGTCATTGGTTCCCACATGAACCAAGAGGAAGGGGTATTTGTCAGTGGGTTTTATGATTCCTTGCAGTTGTTCAGTTACATCTTGGATCTTAGCCCCGGAGAGACAGCACACTTCCCGAGACATCTTGTCAGGCCCACAGATCACTGCTTCTGTTCCCCTCAGTAGGGAATCCCCTATCACCACTACACGCCTCCTCTTAGGTTTGGTCGGGGTTCTTCCGTGAGCTGTCCGTTCCAAGGTCGCCTGCACATTCCCTGAGGACTGACTTTGCTGCTCGTCTTCATATACCTGATCGACTGTAATGAGGAGAGATCCTCAAATGGAGTCTGCTCTTCGTCTTCCATGCTAGGGAGAGGACCCAAAGCGATTGTGTATTTCTAAACAATCAGAGCGAACCCTGGGCCTCCTACTTCTTTGAGTCACGTTTCTCCATATATCTGGCTCCTGTGTTGGTGAACTAGCCTCCTTCTTAGGGGAGTCCCCTGTCTCCTCCTTGGTGGAGACAGTGTGCTCTGTTGCTTCCAAGAAGAGCTCCAGCTCTCTACAAACTGGCTACAATCTCAGTTTCTGCAACATCCATCCTTCCATAAATACACACTACCAAGAGTTTTAGACTGATATGATGGAACTCACAGGTGCAAAAAAACCTGCCCCTCTGGGAGGAACTTTAAGGGAGAATACTTGCAGATATTGATTTTCTCCAGTAATTGCAGGACTTCTGGGGATGACTGGCGTGTGGACATTCTAGAAAGCCAGATGCCCATAAGCCAGAGGTCAACAGTAGCCATTTCCATGTTTGAGCAGTGCCAGCTCCTGTTTTGGGAGGGCGCTTGAAGTAGACAGTCTCCATCGCTCCTCTCCCTCCATGGGAGAATCTACCTTCTCACTACCATGACCACCAGCTGCTCCTTTACTTCTTCATCTTTGCTACCACCCACTTGCTTGCTAGGCAGGGAGACAACGAGGATGCAGGCAGTATCATCAAGTGCTCCTTTTCACCACCACCACTGTTGGGGACAGAGCAAGAGACAGGTGAATAAGCAGGTTGCAATGGTGGAGCAAGACCAGGGAAGCTCTTGCCATATGCCTGACTATGCTTTCTTCCACAGTGGCCAGAATTCTCTGAGGGAAAGGGTATGTTTTAAACGTGCTTTAAAGATAAATTGTGAGTACATGGCCTCCCTAGGCCTTTGGTCTGATCTGGAGGGGCTCTCCTTACACCAGTGTTTCTCAAACTTGGGTCTCCAGCTGTTGTTGGACTACAACTCCCATCATCCCTGTCCATGGTTCCTGCTAGCTAGGGATGATGGGAGTTGCAGTTGAACAACAGCTGGAGACCCAAGTTTGAGAAACAATGCCTTACATTCTTAACATGGTGCAATGGAGAGTATCTCACAAAGACATCTTTATGTGTCTCTTTCTACACACACACACACACACAGTGTACATATAACCAGTGCTTTTTTTCCTGGGGGTACGCATACCCCTAAACATTTTGCGAATCTAAGTTTGGCCTCATTGAGGGGCAGTTTTTCAATATGAGTAGGAAAATGAGAGTACCCCTAAACTTTTTTTAGGGGGGGGAAGCACTGCATATAGTAAAAGCAAAGCACTCAGCAAAGCACCTCCTGGCAAAGCCAGGCCTGTTGTGGGCTTATATAGAGGTCTTGTGATCGCCCAGATGATGTTCTGACAACAAACCATCTCTTCTGTGTAAGTGTTTCAAACCATCATTGCCGGCCTCAGTATTGCCAGAGGGTTTGCTAGAGAGCCATGCAAGCATCTCCCTTCTCTCCCACAGCTGAGTATACAGCTGAAATTTATAGTCAAGTCACCATGGCACTTTTCTTCAAAGCTACAGACAGCCCCACCAGTGATGCTGCCTGGTGTGTGCTTGGGTTCCAGCTACAAGCATTCTACCTCCTGCAGATGTCTCAGCGCAGCCAGCTCAGTTTCACGTTCTCCCAGGAGGAGACGGGGCTGCTTGGGACAGTAAATAATTAGCTTTGCTGCCGTTGGCTACAGGAATGATTATGAATTTTTAAGCGCGGCAAGCGATTGAAGAAGTTTCTGTTTGCTTTCCTCCAGCCAACTTGCAAACCTTTGCTCCTGGAGGGAGAATATTCCCTAAAGCAGCTTGACATTCAGGTGGGAAAACATTTAAGGTGCAAAAAAAAAAAAAAAAAAACCTGAGCCGAGGGTAAGTTGCTCAGAATTCAGGGGGAGTGGGGGGTCATGTTATGAGGGAGATTCCAAAAGTAATGCATGTTTTTTAAAAAAATAAGTTTCTTAATTGTGCAGTCCTAGGTCTATCAATTAACAGATTATACCTGGAGCGGTTTGCTTCTGGGAAGATAAATTTGAGTGGGTTATGAGTAAAGAAACTCATCTTTGGAAGATTTTTTCAGTAGTTTTTTGTTATTGTTGCCTTAAATCTTTTTAAAATTAGATGCTGGTGAAAGGCATCACTTTGACAGCTTAAGAAATGAAAGTTTTCTCTAAATCCCCATAAAAATTCTCTCACGCAGCCCCCTTTCCCCACAGAATACTTCTGGTCTGACCTCTGTTTGTATCATATTTTTTATTCAGTGCCATGGAGCAGGCATATAGGAGTTATAGGCGGGGGGGGGGGAAGCAACTTTTGCCACCTTTACTATACCTACCACTTCAAATAGCCATGGCTTCACCCAAAGAATTCTGGGAGCTGTAGTTGTTATTTTTTAAGGGTGCTGAGAATTGCTAGGAGAGCCCCATTCCCCTAACAGAAATACTATTCCCAGTTCCCTGAGTTGATGGATTGTTAAACCATACTGGGAGTTATTGGTCTGTAAGGAGAATAGGGAATAGGATTCTTTGGGGGAAAACCATGGCTGTTTAAAGTGGTATGATACTTTCAAAAATGTGTAGTGTATATGGAGCCCTTAGCTGAATACAACCCACTATTAACAGAAATTGCAATTCAGATTGTTCTGTAATTGGTGACAACAACCTTTTCATTTTCCCAGGCACTTACTCTTTAATCTGAGCAATGGTGCTGCCAGTTTTATCCTCTTCTAAATTTAATTTCATGTTTTAATTGCTGTGTTCTATGGAGGTAAACCACCCTGAGAATATTGAAGAGTGGCATACAAATGTATTAAGTAAATAAATAAAGACATAAAGATGACGTCTTTTTTCCATTCTGATACAAAGCCTGTGCCTTTATTAGCTTCATGTTAGGCATACGCCAGTAAAGATGATGGACAGACTCTGTCAAGTTGGTCCAGCTGTAGTTATATATTATTACTAGCTTGTAACTATTAACTCTCTTAATGCTGGAAGAATGGGCAGCCTGTTTTAAGTATATTGTCATTCTATTAGCCTGTGGGGGGAAATAGTAGAAACAGAGAATACTCCACCTTGATGGAATATTGTCCCTCCCTGCAGTTCAATTATCTTTATTACATGCATGATCATAGAGTGTCTCAAGGCTTCCGGTCTAGTTCTGATACCCAAATGTACATTATATTATAAAGAAACAATGCACATAACTTTAGAAGCTTTCGGTTTCAAAATACTCTGAAGTGGGCCAAATCTTTTACAAAACGGAGACACTTCAACTAAGAAAAAGAACAGAACCCAAATGTTTCCCATTTGCAGAGTTGGCCCAGTGTAATTCCAGTAGTTCTGGTTTATTTATTTTGTTAGACCAAACTAAAATGGTAGGGTGGTTTTTTAAAAAATATATTTGATATTCTGATATGCTTCTGCCTTTTATTGTCATCTGCTTGAGGCAAAAGTCACAACTACTGGTGCTTTAATTTTTTTAAAAAATAATTATGCCAAGAAGAGCCCCCAGACCCCCCCAAGATAATACAGTTGTACAATAACTTTAACATACACTTTTTCTAAATGTTTCAATCAGCTCTGAGTCAGTAGGGCTCATGTGTCACGAGTTAGCTTAAAGGTTACATCCTAGATGCCACGCATACTTCCATCCAGCTTCTTTTGAAAATCAAGTTGCGAACCAGGTTTTGAAGAGGTGCTGAAGTGTGTGCTCTTAGCAAAAGAATAGACCAGAAAGTGAAATAACAGCTTTATACAGAAGGGGGATGCTCAGATGGAACTAACCAAAACATTTCTTTCCCTTTCCTTTGGCATAGGACTCGTTCCCATCAAAACTAAAGGTTGTGCCCCGAGTTGTGCAGCCTGTGGAGAGAGGCACTTTGATGTGAAAGAGAATCCTAGTGAAGTACCGGATACAAATGTCTCTGTGGAAACAGGAGGAACTTCCAGAAGCAGGAAAAAACATTGTCAGAGAGAGGGTTTATTTATCCCTTCTCCATCATCACTCAGACAGTCTGGGTGGTTTCCTCTTGCAGATCTATGTGCTGTGAGGAGGGTTCCGTGCTAATCATGGGGCAAATGTTGACAAATGTCACATGATCATCAAAGCATAAATATCCAGTCTCACACTTGGAGATTGGATCAAGCTCCAGACCCAGCTGTTCATGACTTGGGACCAGAGATGGGGGGAATCTGTCAATTTTGGTTTCACTCAGTTTCTAATTTTTCAAATCTTGTTTGTTTTCCCACATTTCCACATTAGTTTGTGATTATTATTTTTTAAGTCCTCATGAAAATTCATCAGTATTTTAGTGTGGATTTCTCCTAATGTACAAATTTTTGCAAGCCATATCCGTTTTAATGCACCTTTTACTCCAGTAAATGCCTTTTTGTACATATTACTTGGCTAGAACTGTGCTGAAAAACTGGGAGAGCTGCAAATTACAAAAGTACAGCTGTGATTCATTTTCCATGCTAAGTAAGTTCTTCTTACACGCAAACTGGACTGAATTTCTTCCCTATCCTTACTAGTGACACATCTTGTTTCAGGAAAGCCACTTTCTATGTATTAAGTCTTAACTTCATGAGGCTGTCAATATTTAAACTGTCGCTCTGTACTAGGGACAGGGAGTAAGCCCTGTTGAATTCAGTGGCGTTTAGCTCTGAGTAGACATGCATGGACACACACTATCTGTTATGTGTTTCGGATCTCTTTGTGAGGTTGCCCCTGAGATTGCTTCAGAAACTGCAAAAGGAAAGCAACTTATAAATGAAATAAATAAATCCCTTATTCTACCCTGTCCTTAGGACTTAAAGTCAATCAAATAACACACGTTTTTTAAAAAATCCCAAAGACTGAGTATTACTGCAAAAATATACTACATGCAAACTATAAAAGCCAGCAAAAGCAAATTGAAATACCTACTGAAAGCCAAAACCAACACATTCATTTATTTAAATATTGATCTTCAAAATGGTTAAGAACAGTTTAAGAAATATATGTAGTTAATGAACAGTATACCTTCTATTTGATATAGAATCTTGAAATCAAAGCTAGCCCACACTATTCTCTGAAAGGTTGCCAAAATAAGAGAGACATATATCACTCTTAGAAGGCATTCTAGGTTGGAATTTGATAGACCTCTAGAGGAAGTCATTTCAACAGTTTTGAGGAGAATGAAAATGGCTGTGTGATCCCTTGATACTTGGATCAATAGTTAGTCAAGAAGACACTCTCAGTTGATCTTTAGGGCCATAATAGAGAATTTAGAAATATGGTCCAATTATAGTTCTCTGGGTCTAGACTACTTTTCTGTACTTTTCCAGATCTGCCTTAACCTTGGCTAGGCAAAAGCAAAAGCTCCAGGCTATATGGTCAGCCTCAGATTTTGACAATCCTGGGCATGAAAGGCTCAGATCATTTTGGGGAGATATACCTGTATACTGAATGTGTGAATCAGCTCTAACTCGGCTGGGACAATGTAGTCTTAGTTTAACATGTGCATCTTAAATATTTTGTTGTGCAATAGCACACAAGCTACATCTAAATGAATAACTCCTTATTAAGGAAGGAAAACCACAGACAGGGTACAATGAAATCTGAAAGAGGAGACACAGAGAGGCAAAGAAACGAGACCAAAAGGCAAATTCTTATAGTATAAGGGTCCCCCCCCCACTCTCCTATACCTGAGTTTGATGTTCTTTCCTTTTATCTTTCCATATCAAGGAAGCAATAAGTCTTACCAGCCTCAGGGGTTGAAAAACAACAGAAGGTGATGCAATGGTTGCTCATCACTGGATGACAGGTGAATTGCCCACAAGCTATTATCTATAAAGATGGGAACAGATCAGTTAGGAGTTGCCCAGCCACCAAACCACAACAGCATACATATGTTGTGATGTGACATGCCTGTCTCTTTATATCTATATTAGCTTCCATAAGTAAAATTTACTGCTGCAAACCAAGTAGTGAACAACATCTGTGCACTTTATCATAATTGTCACCTTTAATTTAATCAGTCCGCTTCTTTCCCAAGTTAAGGCCCTGTGAGAATTTGTGTTTATTGCTCCTACCATTAGTGTTAATGCAGCAAATGATCCACAGAGTAAGCCAACAGAGGACAGAGGGGTGGTTTATTCTTGACATGTCCCCTTGTGATCACCTCAGAAATGTGTGGGTTGCTGCCATGTTCATAGCTGAGCTGGGATCCTGTAAACTATGCTATAATTATAGCAATCAGGGAAGCCATGTATACACCATGTTGCAGCCATGGCTCATACAAATACAATAAACACTGTTTAAAAGATAGATTGTCAAAAATATCTCACAGTGATGTAATTATTGCTGTTCATTGCATCCCGTATGTTCTGGGGTCTCTGCCAAACAGTGAGCTAGTGTAGAAAAGTGGTTAGAGTGTTGGACTAGGGTTGGGAGAGGATGGTACTGTGGTCTGAACCACTGGGCCTCTTGGGCTTGCCGATTGGAAGGTCGGCGGCTCGAATCTGCGTGACGAAGTGAGCTCCCATTGCTCTGTCCCAGCTCCTGCCAGCCTAGCAGTTTGAAAGTTTGCTGCGGCAGGAAGGTAAATGGCATTTCTGTGCGCTCTGGCACTCGTCACAGTCCTCCATGTGCCAGTAGTGGTTTAGTCATGCTGGCCTCATGACCTGGAAAGCTTTCTGTGGACAAACAACAGCTCCCTTGGCCTGAACAGCAAGATGAGCGCCACACCCCATAGTCGCCTTTGTCTGGACTTAACCATCCAGGGGTCATTTATTTTTACTTGAGAGAAACCAGGGTTCAAATCCCCACTTGACCATGAAGTACACTTGGCGACTTTAGGCCAGTCTCAGCCTCTCAGCCTAACCTAATTCATCACAGGGTTGTTGAGAGGATAACATGAAAGTGTGTGTATGTATGGACAACCATGTATGCTACCTTGAGCTTCAGTGGGAATGGGCACTGGAATATAAATGCAATGTAAAATATCTATTGTCTGCTTGCGCATGCACACAGAGGGGGGAGATAAATGGCAATGTACGCAGACTAAACAGTTTTTAGGAAATAGTTGTGTTTCTATGTAATCCACTTATATTAAGTGATATATGAACATTAATAAATAAATAATAGGAGCAGAAACAAAGTGACCAAACAGGAGATGAGTGAGACCGCACATCAGGAACTGTTGCCTGTTCTGAAACTTCTGTGATACAACAGTATAGATTACATAGTGTGAAAAAACTATGTGCCCTAACAAATAGAAGAAGGGACTTGGATCAGAACGACAGGAATTCAGGTCCTTGCTTGGCCATGCATTCTATTAGACCAGTTCCTGTCTTTCAGCCTAACCTAGCTGACAGTGTTCTTGTGAGGAAACATGAGGTAAACCATCTGAGCAGAGCTACAAAGAGTGGAGCACAGCACACAAAGGGAAGAAACAAATGTGTAAGTGTAAAGTTTTCTTTTACTCATCCCAGAATGCAGCTCCTGTCTTCTAAATTTCATTATAACTCAATTGGTTGTGACTAGATATATAAAGCCAGATTTTGTTTTGCTTTTTTTGAATCAATGAGATGTAGAAAGCTATTGATCTGAGTGCTGGAACTTCTGTTTGCACTGACAGTTCTCATTCCCCTTTGATTTTTAACAACAGTGGGTGTTTTATGCCCTAAAATCACGTGACCCAATGAAACTTGGGAGACAGAAATCATGCTGAGGTACCCCCTTGGTATCTATTTACTTTTGCTTGTTTTAGCAAGGCGTACCCATGAGATCAAAGAGCTAAATGCTATTGTACAGTAGCTAGTTGTTATAAACATTTTCTTCCCAAAAGTAAATTGCAGAATGGGCTCTTTATTTGTGCAGTTGCATTTTACAGCTGGAAATAATGCAGGTTGTGATTCTAAGAAGAATTCACGTTGTTTTCATTTTCTTAAAGCAAACTCTCTTTTTTGTGGTTGAGGGGTTAAATTAGCCACCACAAAGGAAGGCAGCTTTAGAGCACCACACTGCCCTCTCTGCATGTCTTTCATACTTGCTTTCATCTCTTGTTATATGCTTGGGTGTGTTAGGCTGTGGTCAACCGGTCTGGAAAGAGAGAATTATGCCAGCTTTCTCTAATAAACCTGGATTATGAACACACTAAATAATAAGGATTTGAGGAAGTGACTGCATAATGCTGTGTATACGTAAGCTGCACTGAACACTATAAAATAAATAAACATGCATTGGATCGCTCTGTGAATTAATAAAACATTTAAACCAGAGATGAATTGGTGATTCCATCATGAGAATAAAATAGGCAATAGAAAGGTGAGCTGTGGAGACCATGAAAATGTGCTGATTGTTAGAACCTAATAACCTAAGAAGAACCCCACTGGAGCAGGCCAAAGGCATATCTAAAAGGTAAAACAAGGTAAAGGACCCCTGGACAGTTAAGTCCAGTCAAAGGCGACTAAGGGTTGTGGCACTCATCTCGCTTTCAGGCTGAGGGAGCTGGCATTTGTTCACATACAGCTTTCCAGGTCATGTGGCCAGCATGACTAGACCACTTATGTATGGCACAGAACACCGTGCCAGAAGCCAGAGCACATGGAAATGCCATTTACCTTCCCACTGCAATGGTACCTATTTATCTACTTGCACTGGCACGCTTTAAAACTAGGTTGCTAGGTTGGCAGGAGCTGGGACAGAGCAGTGGGAGCTTACTCCATCGCGGGGATTCAAACCGCTGACCTTCCGATCAGCAAGTCCAAGAGGCTCAGTGGTTTAGACCACAGCTCCACCCGCGTCCTTAACCACCCAGGGGTCATTTACCTTTACCTATCTACTCTAACACCATGCTCTCACAGTGGCCACAGAATGAATGAGTGAGTGTGTGAATACGTGTTCTAAGAATAAAATTGATTAGTTAATGGATATGTTATAGCCCTTTGTACTATACTGAAGTGAGAGCATATTGAGCCAATGTGTGTGGTGTCTCCTTAAGGGTAAAGGAAGTGTTGGATTTTACATTGAATATGTCAATGTGAGTTCTTATTTCTAAACTTTCAAAATGCCCCTTCATTCCCTAATGTGCAGTTAAAGCTTACTTTGGCTTCAAATGAGACACATTTTGTTTTCCAAGCTTCAGAAACATTTTGGTCACATTTGTCACTTTGCTAGAGAGAGGAAGGGGGAAAGGGCATTTGGCAGCTATGTGAAGGAAGGCATTCCGACTGGAAAGGGGGGGGGAGACTACAGAACTTTTCCGAATCACCAGCCTTTCTGCTTCCACTTATCACTGCATGAACCATAACGATGCTGGGTCATTCACTGATTTATAATATCAAAATATTTAGCAATAGCCTGATCCCAAATTCTAATCACAGGCTTAAATATAGTCTAGTGTAGAACAGCTGTCCTGCACACCACTTATGGAGCAGAAGAATAATAGAATTGGCTAGGGAAGAAAATAATTCTACCCGAAAGCCATCATTGAAATAGCTTCACGTAAATGCACCTTAGTCAGTCTTTTTCAACTAAAGTCTTGATAGTCCTCAACAAATGTTTTGTCACTCATTCTTCCTCTGATGATGCCAAATGGGAAATCAGAGGATTTAAAGTCCCACAGAGAGAAGTGTTGCAGGCCAAATGCTTGACATCTCTTGGGGAGTGGGAGGCTAAAATGCAAGGAAAAGGTGTACAGTTTGCTTCAATTTTATTAGCACCCTCAACTCCTACAAGACAAGAAAGGCATTTCTGAGGAACCGCAAAAGGTAGCTTGAATTAATGGCATTCTAAAACAAGGGTGTGAGAGAGACGTGTGTTAACTGATGAGGTGTTCACTTCTTGTTCTTTTCTTCTACCAGCAGCCTTCTATGGTAGGAATAATTTCAGTCATGTGATGATGAATTATCTCAATTTGATATGATAGCATTTCAAAAGTGTGTCTGGATATGCATTGCAATGGTGACTAGTCTGGGGTAGA